GATATTTCATGATTTCATGTTGAATGTGCTACAATAGCCTTTATACAGAATCTCCATTTATATAGTCCAGTCAATCCCCCACATTCAGGAAACTGATGTGTCATATAGTCTGAGAAATATCATTTTTGATATTTCATTTTTGAGAGCAGTTGGCTTCATGGGTCTCGTGATTGTGCTGTTGCAAGCCGTGGCAGTGGCTGCTCCTGTGCTGATGGTTTGATGGCGACATGTGACCAGGCTCAGACTGAGCCAGACTCTAAAGCAGATTACTGTAGTAGTCTGTGCTTTTGGCAATCTGTCTAAAGGTTTCTGCTCACAAGACGCAGCTCAGCAAAGACTTAGATTTATGACCTGATCAATTTGCAAATGGCAACCGCAGCAGCTGCTCCACACTTAGCCTTGCTTATTGGCCTAAATGGTTTTAAAGCTACCCATGGGTTAGTGAGTGATAAAAAAGTGGCCCTGTTGCCGTAGCATATGGCACTCCAAAAAAATAGACAATGTCTATATAGGCCTGTCACGATAACAAATTTTGCTGGACGATTAATTGTCTCAGAAATTATTGCGATAAGCGATTATATTGTCGTTCTGAGATCATTTGCATCGATTACAATGATCATGCAGGTACACCTTTTCAAAGAGAAATAAACTTTTATTTTTAACGAATATTTAACGCTAGAACACAATAAATTTACAAACAACCAAAAACAATAAATAAAATACTCAGTCTCTTAACAAAAAATGACCAGGAATAAAACTGCCAGGACCTTTGTAAAGAAAATCTGAAACAGATGCCTCAAATGTCAATAATTTCTCAGACTTTATGGCAGATTACGAGAAAGAAATACCAACATGTTGACTTTGTGTGGTTTAAGACAGGATCTCTCAGGAGTAGTCCCACCTCCCCACACACCAGGCAAATGACAAGTGACTGACATGTGGGTTCACCAATGGGGCGTACAGAAGTCCTGCTGCGGTAGCGCCCACCGGAAGTAGCGGGGCGGGCTTTGATGCTAACAGCTAAGCTAGCGGGTTTTTTGTGTAAAGTTCTACTCCAAGAATGCAAGTCTGCAGCATCTCTGTGTTCAGAGACCTTCTAGAGACTTTATATAACAGCAGTATGTGTTCACGGAGGTGCGCCATAAGTTTATTTTATTGGTATGGTACGGTACTTCTGCATCGGCGAACACGCTAACGCTAGCTGCGCTAGTATAGTCACTAATCAAGCCTGAATGAGAACTCAGCTGCCGGCATATGTTCACAACTACTGTGTCCCCCATTGTCAATCCTGGTTAAGTCCTGGTTTAGGTCCTGTTTTGGCTGTATTTTGTATTTTTGAGTAATTTCCGTCTGCTTGCTAGACCGCTAATGTTCCCGTGACCACTTTGCGGCTCTCTGACCCGAGAGAGAGAGGGGAGAGAGAGAGACGGGGAAAACAAACAAGCTGCAAATGGGATTTATCGCGGCCAGAAAAGTTATTGAGCAAATTTTATTTATCGTGCGATTAATTGATTTATTGACTATCGCGACAGGCCTATTATATCTTAAGGGCTGTGTCAAACATTGCAATATTGGAAAAACAGTATCTTTTTCTCTCTTCATTCACCCTTCACATCATTTCTACTCAACACGTTGAGTGTTTTGCATCTGCCTTTTGCCAGGTTTTCTAATCAAAAATGTTCACAATATGAGAAGGAAAAAAACACCCCCGGATCGCCCAGCTGCAAACGTCTAAAATAGCTTGCATCCAGGTATTGCCACCCGGTCACGTGATCCTCCTATAGCCACTCTCTGCTACCATGCTCTTGTTGTTTACGCTGCAGACGCTAGAGGGGCGTGGTCTAGGAGAACAAGCGTCACACAAACTTTCTACTCAGCACGTTTTTTTGCCGGAATTCATACACAGCTGAATCAATGAGCTCAACTTTTCTATGAATACAAATTTTAATAAAACTTAGAAAAAATACTGTCTACTACAGAAAGACAGAATGTTAATGCCGTTTTATGTGGATTAAAAAACAAATACACTACATGTACACTATGTGGTAATTTATCTTTCCATTCAAACAACCATTTACAGAAAAATATGGATATGGATAGTTCGAAATGCGATTAATTAATAATTGATACATTTTATTTAACTTGATTAAAAAATGTAATCGTTTGGCAGCCCTAATTTTCATATAACTCAACATCCTACTGTCTTTTTACTTGTTGTTTCATGTCTGATGCACCTATTTTCTGCTGCGTTCAATGTCCCACCCACTGATGCAGTTTCCATGGAAACAATGCCTTGTCTGTAAAATATAAGGAACTAAAATGTAGAATAATGGAGAAACATCTTGTGGTACTTTTATTCTTAATTTGTTTAATCTACTTAATGCACTTGGATTCATTTTCTTGTTCAAAGATGTTTCTGCAGCTGTTTGGATTTGTTATTATATTATTTTCCAGATGGTAGGGTTCATACAGTTCATGCAGTTTTGTGTTGAAAACATTACCACACGTAAACTCTTAATTTCAAGTTTCAAAGCATCTTCAGCTGTTGTTGAATACAGCTGTGTAAAGCCAGTTGGAAGCCTTTGAAAGCAGTGTGGGCCTCCTCTTTACAGTCATGATGAGCCAGTGGCAACAAGTGGCTGGTTTAAAACAAGATTTCTCTAAATTATGAACTAAATCCTTCTGTGTGTCATTAATACGTAATTTTTGTACCTTTGTTTATAGATTTTTTGAATAGTTCTTGTAACATATAGCTGTTTGTCATGACAGAACATGATAATTTGCAAACTAAAATAATTGCAAACTGGGATTCTGAGGAATTGTATTTAGCAGCCAGTGTTGGAGAGAAGGCAGATTATACTACACATATGTTTGTTATTGTTTCTATACTTTAGAAGTGTAAATCTTTTCCCAGTTTGACTTACCTCATACAACACACTTTCAATTCAATACTGTTCAATACAATATGTTTTTTGTTTTTTGACTTTGTATGCAAACATTATTTGCGTCATTTATCTTCCACTTTGATGGATTACAGAAAAAAAATGCTTCTGTTTGCTACATGTGGGTCTCTGTGCGGAGCTATAGCAAAACAATATACATTTATCAAAATACTGATTTAACAAAATATTTAAATATATTTATAAAATCAAATTATTCAATTCAATTCAATTTATTCTTTTATAGGCTTATATCACAACAAAAGTTATCTCAGAAGTCTTCACAAAATTGTTGAATTTGCCAAAACAGATCAGAGAATCAAACAGTTCAAACACAAGAAATAAAACAGAAAGACACAGATACAGGGGCAGATGACCAATGTCCATAACTGTATATCTATTGTACTGATATCATTATGTTTTTTGTTCATTTATTTATACTGTAATGATCAATGTGCAACCTCATGTCCACTGGATGTGACTGTATCTTCTTTATTTTCCTGCCCTACATGTATCTAACTTTTCACTATACATATAATGATAACGCATCAGTTTTATGAGCGCATTTTTGGACACTCAAAGATGCTTCACATGTCATTATTCATTCACTGCATGCAAGGTGGTGATAAACTACTACTATAGCCACAGCTGCCCTGGGGCACACTGACAGAAACGAAGCAACCAGTATGCGCCATCGGCCCCTCTGAAATATCCCCACTGCGGGACGAGTAAAGGATCTCTCTTATCCTTTACACCTTGTTATCTTATCTTATCATATCGTATCTTTTTCTAGCCCAGCCCTATTCTGTGTATGCGTTTATTACTCCTCCAACACTGGCCTAAGCTCTTCCATTGACATGACACCCTAATACTTCCTCGGTGGTCACTGACACATGCCCCGCTCTGTCGCCCCCACTCCAAACTCATGCACATTCTGCCTGTAACACCCCCCTGCTCCTCTGCTTCCCCTGATCCAGCCCAAAGTGTCACTCACTGCAGATTCCTCTATCTGCACCGCGGGCCACTGCTCAGAGCTCTGCAGTAAACAGAGCTGCAAATGATCCCACTTCGTCTCCATAAATCAGCCCCAAAGCCACATCCACAGACTGTCTTCATGCTTTTGATGCTTAACTTCAAAATATATTCACAGATTGTCATTGTTTGTCGCCTGGAACGCTTTGATGCAGCCATGAATCAACTTGAAAAATGCGCTTTTTGTAATTAACGAGTGACTACGAGGCAAGAATTAAACTGAAGAGTAATGAGAGGAGACATAAATCGGCTTGCCATTTTCTCAGCAGCATTTCGCGGTTTTGATGAGAATGCTAAAAGTACGGATGTGGTGTTTTGAGTCGCTTATCATGCCATATGTCATGTGATAACGAGGGATTTAGGGTATTTTTGTTTGTGATTTTGAACTTTCTGAAATGGAAGCACTATGATTTCCAAGAAACTTCTTTGTACTTGAGGGTTGGGGGCAGTGAGGGTTAGTGAGGTTTCATCACTAACAAATCCATTGTCTTATCAATAATTGTGTTTTTTGATGAGCTGAGGTATGGTGAAAATAAAATGATTTATTTGAGCTTGTTTTTTGCTCGTCTGTAGCATCTGTGGCTATTGTTTCGTTTGAACAATTTTACATTTGGTGTAAATTATGATTTGATTGATTATGGGATTTCTGTTATGAACCAAAAAAAGAAGGTGGAGTATTGTAGACTGATTTACAGATTCATATTTTACACAAATGAGTATTATTATCATTATTATTACTGGGTCTGGGGGTCGCATGTGGCTACTATTCCGCAATTTGCCCGGGTCTGGCCTAAATGATGGTCTTTGATAAACACACCATGCTAAATAGTTGATAAAGTAAGTTGTAACTTTTTTCAAACCTCACAGATAAATGTTTTAGTCTGAAGGTCCATTGAAGCGAAGCTGAATTGCTCATTAGCGAGGGAAGCACTTTGCAGATATAGACATTTTTCCTCGGGACACGGGTAATTAGTGCAGCCTCCTTACGCAGATGCTGACTCTTTTCCTCTTTGTTGTTGTCTTTTACAGTCAATAAGCACAAACCATGGATTGAGACGACGTACCACGGGATTGTGACAGAAAACGATGACAAAGTTCTCCTGGACCCTCCTCTCATCGCCCTGGACAAAGATGCTCCACTCCGCTACGCAGGTGAGCGGCCTCAGAGAGTGGCCATCTTGAGGAGGTTTAACTTCGCTTAAGGGAACATCGAACAGTTTCATTAGAAAACACTTTTCCACGTGACATGTCTTTAGGGAAAAAACGTTGGTCTATTGTGTTTGGATGGTAATTTGTTAAGAGACATTTATCCAGACTGTCGAGGCTTCTAGAGAGACTACTAGATATGAAAACATGTCATAATCACTTGTGCAGGATATCAAATAACTGCCAACTCTGTCGGATCAACCTATTGTGATTCCTGGTCCGAGTTACAGTGTGATCAGTCCATTTAAGGTGAACCTTGTAATTACTGTAACAGAATAAATACAGGATAGGAAAAAGTTAAATGCCATATTGAGAAACATCATCATGAAGCTGTGTTTTATGTGCACAGAATCTGAGAATTACTGAATTTATAAAATACTGGACGTGTCTCGTGTCACTCTTGGATTACAATTTTGTTAATGAACTTCTACTCCTTCAACACATTCTCCATACTCATTTTTTCATTAAGGCTTAACTCTTTTGAAATTCAGATCAAAATCTTCTTTCATGTGGGACTCCCAGTAGAGAGGCACAATTAGTATGCTTCATGTACGAGCTGTGCGAGTGCTGTTCGCTCTGGGGGCGCTTTAATCACACTGGAATTGACTTTGGCGGCGATTCAGAACAGTCACATGAGTCCTGTGATCTGTGAGTGCTGCTGCCCACAGACCCACCACCAACTTATATATTTAAGTCCATTTGTATTTTACACTAGGCTAAAGCAAAGTCATTCTTCACCTGTTCTTACTGTGGTACAAATTATGACAAATGACAAATCTCAAAGGTTGAAGCAATTGTTAGCTATGTCTCAGTGCTATAGAATCAAATCGATTTAGAATTTAATTTATTTTCATTCATTTATGTATTTATTGAGTTGGGACAATGCACATTAATCTGCATTGATGCGTCAGTGTAAATGCAACGGATTTAGCATAACTACTACATTTCAGCCGTAGTCCCAAGGCAGGTTCCTAGGTAACAGACACAAAAGACAAAAAACCTTGCAACGGCAAATCATACAATTAACAATTACAAAACCATGTCAGTCCTAAATGGAATAAAGTCTAAACTCGCCAGCCTTCATCACGATTTGCTTCCTCTATAATTTAATCCAGACATTATATTGGGGTGTTTTTCTCATCCATCAAGCCCCGTGTTTCAAAATCTTCCCGCTTCCAAATGATGCCTGTATAGGTTGCAGCGATGGTGGTCTGTTTGGAGGAGCTGCACTGTGATTGGCGGGTGAGGTGTCAGTGTGTGAGGGTGTCTGCTCCACACTGCAGAGAGTCTTGACAAATTCAAGGTGAACCTGTCAGAACAGTGCAGTGTAACTAAAATAAGTTACTTCGTCAAGTATAATTGCAGAACATTTTTTAAAAGTACAAAACATTAAGCCTGACAAGCCAGATAACTCAGATAAGTTAGTCTGGGCACACGGCCATGGGGGTGGGCCTAACACGCACAGATTGACGGAGAATTTAACCTATTAGGTGATTGCTTTTCTGTTGACTATGGATTTATATATGCCATCATCATTTGTTTTGGACCAAAAACAATTCTCAGTTTGTGTCTAGACCTACTTTGTTTGTGCTAAAAAGAAGTGAATGAGGTTTGCCTGGCTACAAAACATTACCATATGCAACATTCTGTGACCATTCAAACAAAAGTTGAATGGATGATATAGCTGCAGTCATGAAAAGTCAATATAATAAAGAATTCAATCAAGTTTGGGCATCTATCAAGTTTATACTGAGCTGATACAGTGACGCAGTCTTCAGCTAAACACGTTCTACATTTTGGTGGTCAAGATTTAACGCTGATGCCAAACATATGTATTTAAGGATAAAAAACGTTCTCAGACACTGTAATGCAACATGTCTGCATTAGAGTATATAATGGGAGATCTCATTAGGTCAGTCTTTTAATAATAGTTATAGCACACTTGGAATTCAACACATCATTTCAACAGCTGCCATTCAATACTCCTCAGAATAACTCAAGGCTATAATTGACTCGTGCATTTACCATCAGCCGCAGCAGTAAGAGCTGGTCGTGGTCAGGATCAATAGTGCTTCAGCGTGGTTCAGACTGGAGCAGAGGACAGTGACGAGTGGAGGCCTCCTCATTATCACACAAAGACCATTCACTCTGCTGCATGACTGCCTCAGAACAGCAGCTGCTTATGTGAAACCATTGGCCTCAGGTTTGCAAGGGGAATGTGCCAGTGACTTGTGGAATGGGAATGGGAATTGGTAATTGGTGTTTGGTACTTTTTCTGATGATGAAAACCAATCTGCAATTCTGAGTAAAGCAAACTAGAGCTGCAGCTAATGATTATTGTAGTATAATATCTATATATCCATTATTATACATTCATTTAAGCAAGTATAATCTATTGGCTGTTTTTTATATTGTTAAACCTCTCTCACGGCACAAAAACAAGAGCCAAAATGAGTTTGGTCGGTGTGCAACAGTGTTCTTTCGTGTTAAGTAGTTTGAGAAATTTACAGATTTGCAAATATTGCTGAAGATATTGTGCAGCAATATTTGTAAAGACATAGGTAAAGTCTCCCATGCAACTATTGATCTAGATACTAGATCAGGGGTCTCCATTTTTTTTTAACCTGGAGAGCTACTTTCTCAAGACAAAAACTGCAGAGAGCTACTCCTTGTAATTGTTATTATTTATCATCACATTTTAGATACGAGTCCACAAAGTAAATGCATTTACAATTGTTGTGAGCATTACATAATAATTATAAAACAATCTGTATATCTTTTAATTTGTTAATTTCGCCTGAGCTACAGGTTGGAGATCCCTGTTTTAGATTCAGTTAGATCTGACCAAACTTATAATAGCAATAATAGCAAAAAGAAACACCCACCCAGTGTAAAATGTCTGAGAACCAACATTTGCGCCTCTCTATGCTTGGTTCATCTAATGAAGTTTACATACTGATAGTTCTGTGCCTCTTGCTTGTTTGTCCATATTATGAAGGAAATTGGTGTTTCAATATTTTGCATCATCTGTCATATTGAATATAAAAAGCAAATGAGATACAGAATTCTGGAGCTTTGCGTTACATCAGCCCCATGTGGCGTTCACCTGAACACTGCGCCACACACATCCTGCTGTTTGGACTTTACAAATATGTTGAATTTGAGATGTGATTTTTAGAGATGTCAGCTGTAATTTGATGTTTTGTCAGTTCCTGCCTTGTAAAATCTGAATCATTAATATAACAGCCTGGTTTTCTGCACACAGTTTCAAGTCCTTTCTTTCAATGTAAATCACTGTCTTCTCCTTTTGCTCAAATTTCCATTGCTCTTTCCTTGTTGTCTGTGCCTCTCTTTCACTGGGTCTGTCTTTTCTCCTTCCTGTAGAGAGTTTTGAGGTGACCCTCACTGAAGAAGGTGATCTTTCCTCTGCCTTTTGCTTAGTATTAACCCACTAACGCTACATCTGCACTTTGAGACAGAAATCCTGCCATGCTCTTTTAATCTCCCCATCTTGAGTTTTTTTTATGATTTCAATATCTGTGTTCATTCTGATATTATAACTTCAACTACAGCTGGATGAAAAGTGTGTCGTGGGGCTGGCTGCTCTTAGAAATATCTATGCATGCGACATCCATTGCAGTTTGCAGACCCTAACAGTGTTCAGCCGTCTAATGGAAAAAACAAAAACCGCTTGAATACAGGAGTGCCGACATTTTGTCCAAACCCAAATTCAACTGTTTGAATTGATTCGTTCAAATTCTAATCAAAATCTTGCAAAAACATATCTGAAAACGATTGATCTCAGTCAGATACAAATACTCACTCCTGTTTATTTCGATCAAAAGCTGCTGAGATTGTTAACCAATGCAAACTCTCTCCGCTGCAAAGTTTTCTGTTCTTGCATCTCTTGCCTCAGTGGACTCTTGAGTTAATGTGCCACCACTAATCTCACCATTATAGCATGGCTGCAGTCGTCATTTGATGTGGATGTCGAGCACGTGGATATTTCTAACCCCAGTTCTCATCCAGATTTTTTGTTTCTCAAAACCGTTGTGGGACCATTTGTTAATTGGGGCTATTTTTGCACAGGAAGGCTTTATTTAGTTGAGTAGACAAGTTAATTACAAGTTGTTTGGGTTGCTTTCTTTGCAGACAGAATAGGTCTTGATTGGTGTGGGACCAGCTTAGCACAGTTAAATCATTTCTATTGTTTTGTTCGATTTTTGTAATTAATGGGTTTCATTATAATGCTGCATTTGTGTGGTCAACAGGCCGGGCCCATGCTTATCAGGATTTATAGTTTTAAAAAGTTCGGATATAAACCACATCCTGAATAAGCCATAACATTGAAATATTCATTGGGCATTTGCCAACTCTAAAATGCCACTCATACCACATGAATGCAGGATGCAAGAGAGATCACGTACAAATTAAAAATAAATGTTCTTTTTCTGTGTACTTTTCCACTGGATTTGAATTGACTTTGATTTGAAATACCCAGGGTTCTTTTTGTTAAATGCTTGTCCACATCTTTTTATGTTTTTGCTTGCATGAATGACTGGATGCTATGTTTTAGAAAATACACTGTGATTTTATTAACTGCCCCTCACCTTGTCCCAGTTCCCCCTTTTGCTCACCCATTTGACAGTGCTCCTGGGCTGCCCTCCACTGACACTGCCTCACCCCCAAACTCCTCCTTTAATCTCCTAAAACATGTGGCTATTCCTATTTTATTTTTGTGCCAATTATCTAATTAAAAGTCCAAGTAAAATGTCCCCCCTTCTCCTGTTAATGTGAAATGTTTTGGCCTGTTCAGGTGAGATTTGCGGGTTCAGGATCCATGGGCAGAACGTCCCATTTGAGGCAGTGGTCCTGGACAAGTCGACGGGGGAGGGGGTGATCCGCGCTAAAGACAAGTTGGACTGTGAGCTGCAGAAAGAGCACACCTTCACCATCCAGGCCTACGACTGCGGAGAGGGGCCGGACGGAGCCAACATGAAGAAGTCCCACAAGTGCGTTAGTCTCCGAGCTTAAACCTTAGTTTATTTTTTTACGTACGTCCATGTCAGGTTTGTGATTTATGAAGACAACTTGACTTAATATAGTGCAATTTGGTCTAACAACAACTACAATTTTTTCATAATGGGGCATTCAGAAATAAGGCAGAATGTGACTCAAAGCAAGGATGTTGTGCAATTTTGAGGGAGTTTTGGTTTGTAAAGCTGATCATCACGTATCTCTCTGATTGTGTGTACTCTAGTTGCAAAACTTAATGGACCGTGGGTTATGAACTGTACCACATATTAGTCTAGTTAAAACAATTATTCTAACAAAACTCAGAAATATTTGGAGCAATATTAAACATACATATATTACTATTATACAAAAATAATCATTTTGTGTTGAAAAATCAATTTTTATTCATTCTCATCCCTTTATTGTCCATTTCTGGGTCAGGGGGGTGGCAACTAATTCACATTGCACCAGTCCCTCGCTGATCCTCCTGCAAGTGGTGGGTCCACAGGAAGATGGCTGTTCCTTCATAAATGTTTATATATTGTTAAATTGTTTAATATTTCCCTTATATATTTTTTATATATGATTAGGATCAACTCTAGTTTTATCTCTAAGACAGAAGGCTAAGTGATAAGAACAATAAATTGAATTAGCTGCACCACATATCTTTACAAATCTTCCCACACTGAGTTAGAATGGTTGGTTTGAAGTAAACGCTATACTAATCCAATTCCCTTCGGTCTACAAAAGATATAAGTAGTTATAACTCTTCAAATACGTTTATAATATCCTATTAAAAAACAATATTGCACACACAATATCCATCACTTTACCAGACTGGCATCAGGCACAACATTGTGATTTACATTTCATTGTAATCTTTCCCACGTAGAGCCACCGTGCACATCCAGGTGAACGACATCAATGAATACTCCCCAGTGTTTAAGGAGAAATCCTACAAAGCCACCGTGATCGAAGGCAAGAAGTACGACAGCATCCTGCGAGTGGAGGCGGTGGATGCCGACTGCTCTTTCCAGTTCAGTCAAATCTGCAGCTACGAGATCGTCACCCCCGACGTGCCCTTCACCGTGGACAAGGACGGTGCGCGCTTTTATTGACACACTTCGCATTGTTTATTGAGCTACATAAACAGCGGCGCCACCAAATGCCCACTTGAAATTCAGCGCACTTTTTTGCCTTGAGGAGGAACAGTCGCGGTCTCCTTGAAATGGCAGAGAGTCGGATACGTTTTCCCCTGCGCCGCGCTCAAACTCAATAAGGAATCCAATAAAACTCTTATGGAAAGCGAGTGATTCAGCGGCAAAGAAGTGGTGCTGTGATGTCAGAATACAGATGACTGACGCTTGCAGATACTTAAGAAATATAAATGGCGTATATTACTACAGGAAACTCAGCAAACCAGTTTTTTGCAAAGTTAAAACTGCAGCTTCCAATGTTTCAAACTCCAAAAAGATGTAACCATCTAATGAACCATTAGGTCTGATTCATTCCGCACTCTCAAAACAGTTTTGTTCCAATTCTAGTTCCTAGATGCATGTATTACTGGCCTTTGTCACATCTTTAGATCTTTTTTTTTCCAGACAGAAAAAGGAAAAAGAGAGGACCGTTCTTGCTCAACTAATAAGCTCTCAGTCAATAGAATCAAATAGTGAGTCACCGGGCTCTTTCTTAAAATTACACAATAAGATAAAGGTCGGATTTGTTCATATTTTCCTTTTAAAAGAGACTTTCTGTTGGAACAGACAGCATGTGTAATATTCATGAAAAAATAAGTTAGGTACCCCAGCGTTAAAGCAGCTAGAGAATTCATGTGTATAGAAGTCACAATGTTTTAGGCCTAGCTTGTTAATGAATTCAAAGGGACATTTTCTCTGTGTGCAAAAATCCAATACTCTTTCCTCTTCTTTCCCTCAGGTTTTATTAAGAACACAGAGAAGCTGAGCTATGGCAAAGAGCACATGTACAAGCTGACAGTGACGGCCTACGACTGTGGGAAGAACAGAGCCTCGGAGGACGTCCTGGTGAAGATCAGCGTGAAGCCCACATGCAGACCCAGCTGGCAAGGTACCATCTGCAGTTTAGCCACGCTTTGCTACAATTCTAACTCGGTTTCAATGGAAGTGAAAGCTTAATACTTATTGTGGCTTTTGCACATTTAGTCATTTTTACAACCACAAAAATACAGATGTTTTTTTTTTTTTTTTTCTTTGAAAGACAGCAACAAAGTCCAATTGAAAAAAAAGTGGACAGACCTGAAAAGTGCTGTTCACAAACACTCTCCATCTAATCTGGACATCTTGAGTTAATAATGTTAAATTGTATTATTTTATCATTTATAGTAAGAAATAAATCAATAAATAAAATGACTGTAAACCGACTGGAATAAAACGTGTGGGTGTAATGCATGTGGTTGGTTTTATATTTAATGCTTTTAATGAATGTTAAGCCTTTTGATGATCCTTTTTCTGCTCACCCATTAGGCTGTAATAGTGCCTACACAGCACTGTCCAGCCTTTGTTAATAATCAATTGACTGGTTCACTAAAGCATTTTCCCCTTGTTTTTAACCTTTAGGCTTCAATAAGAGGATTGAATACGAGCCTGGCACTGGTAGCCTGGCCCTGTTTCCCAGCATGCACCTGGAGACCTGCGATGAGCCAATCACCTCCATCCGGGCCACGATCGAACTGGAAACCAACCACATCGGAAAGGGCTGTGACCGCGACACATACTCAGAGAAGTCCCTGCACAAACTCTGTGGTCAGTCCCTGCATCTATTATTCATTTATAGCCTTTTACGACTAAACTAATTGTAAATAATTCAATATGAAAACTTTAATGAGTTTTTAAAGTGAATCTGCAAATGCTGTATGATTTATACATATTTGTTCACTTGTGTCAATGTCATAAACCTTTTGTCACCATAAATGCTTGTGAATTTGAAATTGCTGGAACTTACTAGGATAAGATACATTTTGCTAGCCCAATACAAAGACTAGATGAATATTTGTATAAACTGAATAAACTCAAATGTATAGTTATATAAACACACATGAAATATATAAAGGCATTAGAGGGTTACAATTTATTATTTATTTTATACAATATTTTACATTTACATATTTGAATTATACAGGAAAATATAAGTTGGTATGGTGTAGTTAGGAGTGATCTAACAATTTTTCTTTTGTATAGCCATTGAGGGTGCGTTCTCTGTAACTGGACCAGGCCTGGTTTCACTTGGGGCAAAAATGCTTGTGGTGATGAACTATATGAATATATTCTCCAAATGTTTTATTTTTAGGCGCGAGTTCGGGCACTGTGGAGCTGCTGCCGGCCCCCAGCAGCTCGGCCAACTGGACCGTCGGACTCCCCACTGACAACGGCCACGACAGCGACCAGGTGTTTGAGTTCAACGGGACGCAGGCCATAAAGGTGCCGGAGGGTTTAGTGAGCAGCAGCCTGAAGGAGCCTTTCACCGTCTCTGTGTGGATGAGACACGGACCAGGCGCCCACGAGAAGGAGACCATCCTCTGCAACTCTGACAAGACAGGTGATTGCCACACATCAGAACTCCTTTGTGTCGTGTAGTGCTTTAAAGGGGGATTATAAAAACACGGCATCCAAAGCTGGGGTTCTATCCCTAGTTTGCCCAAGTGTGTATGTGTTGGCCTCTTTCACATCTCCACAGGCTCCCACAGCTTTTATAGAGGATCAGCGTCACTCAGCCAATCAGCTCTCAGCCCAAAGCATCATAATGTGACTCACAGAGCTCTTTCCTGCAAATATGCACAAGGCAAATGTTTTCTAAATACAGAATGTTGTGGTCTTATTTGTTCAAACTGTTTTAGATTATCTCTCACTAATTATCTGCTAATTAGTGTATAATTTATGGTTATTTAGCTCTAAATTGGTATTTATTATGCACTTATTAGTCCTTATTCTACATGGCCTTATTCAATATCTAACTAAATACTAACTCTAACTTTCCCATGTGGGTTAGAGCAAGGGTTAGAGATAGAGTTAGAGCTAGGGTTAGGGTACACTTATTAGCACTTAGCCCTTGTGCTGCCCTTGGGTCAAAATGACCCGCCACAGTGATTTAAAGTAGTGGAAAAATACCCTAAATTAGGGTCTAAAAGTGTCTAAATCCCCAGGACTGGTCAAGTTCCCACCTCTACACCTTCTCAACCAACTCCCACTGATGACTGCTGTCGTTGTGTCCTTGGGCAAGACACTTAACCCCACTTTGCCCAAAGCCCCCACTGAAAGATCAAGGCTATGCTCACACTCAGAGAGCAGCCGTCCTCCTGTGGACTCACCACCTGCAGAGGATCAGTGAGGGGCTGGTGCTATGAGACTTGGGTGGCATCTCTGATTGCCACCCCCCTGACCCAGAAATGGATTAAAGGGTAGAAAATGGATGGATGGATGGATGGTCAAGTCATCATCATCAAATCATCAATCATCAAAATTCAGATTGATAAAATTTTGTGGTGAGTGTTAATTAGCTGTTGATTAGTGACGACTAATCTAAAGTGTTACCGACTGTTTCTGTTGCAACAAAATATGTATTATTCAAATATTTATAAAAGTCGGGTACCCCAGGGTTAATATCTATCACTGCTTGGAATGTGCTTGAGCACAGATTTAAAAACATAAATCTTAAAAACCCTACTTTTTCAAAACAAAGGCAAATCAAAGGACATTGTATGGATGTATGAATGCCTTCAGCAATTGGAGGAATAATGCTCTTGTATTGATACAGCACAATAATGTCAAAGCCTGTGAGTCTTCATTTTCTTCTATCCTTCTATTATTTGTGTTTTTAATTGTGTCTGGCAAATGTTCTTGTTTTCTGAAATACTTGGTAATTTGGCATTCATGGATAACAAGTGCCAATCTTGGTATTATTGATCTTCTCTTGAAGTTAAATTATATGGCACCCTCCATACACAAGACAATTTAAAACAGAAAACAAAATCAAAAATAATTTCAGTTATTGTTCAATTCATCAATATTTAATACAGCTGAGTTTGTTTGTTATAACATAGGTCAACGAACTTTGAAATTAAGACATAATCAGTGAATCCTGGCAGCTGCTTGGCCCACACCCTCGTTTCTGTTTCTATTTTTGTCTCCAGTTGTGATTTTCAGTCCGTTATATCCAGCAGAAATAGAGGCGGGGCAGTCATCAGCTTCTGCCCTTTTGCTTATATAAGACGGATTACATCAATGCGCCACTGGCAGAACATAAGCTTCTATTGCCTTGGTCAAAACTCACATTTACAACCACAAATAGAAAATCATTTATGTCGAACAATGCTTCAAGGGGCTTATATTTTATGATAGGCTTGTAATTTTACTTTAAACAGAGTTGTGTGATCATAATGTTTGAATTTTGTTGTTCAATTTCCCACAGACATGAACAGACACCATTACTCCCTGTATGTCCACAACTGCAGACTGATCCTGCTGCTGCGTCAAGACCCCACTGCGGCTGAAAACTACAAACCAGCAGAGTTCCACTGGAAACTAGACCAGGTCAGACACAATGCAACTAGTACGAGAGTTCCATGTATACTGTGATGTTAAAAGGCCACACTAGACCCCTAACGTTGTTGTCAAAGCTCCCTTACTTCACTATTTGTGGGAAGTGTCTATCCTACCACAAACAATGTCAGTAATGAAGATACAATAGTCTTCGGCCAATCAATTCTTTGTTGGTGTTTGGTTTTGCCAATTATCTGGGCGATTGTGTAAGCTTGATAAATGTAGACAACTCTGGGATATTATTGTTTTTTTGGTCATGATACTTTGGATACTTTGGAAACGGCATGTTATCCCATTCCTATAGCTACTACTGTATCTCTGTAACTTTCGTGATATTTGTATTTATTTTTCTTGTAACTGGGGGCTGCTTAATGTTGCTGTACGCTGTCGACTATTTAACTTTTTTCCAACTGTTTCCCACTCTTACACCTGCTTGTGCTGTCCCGTAGGTTTGCGACAAAGAATGGCATCACTATGTGCTGAATGTGGAGTTCCCAACAGTGTCACTGTTTGTGGACGGGAACAGCTTTGAGCCCTTCCTGGTCACAGAGGATTATCCACTGCACGCTTCCAAGATCGAAACTCAGCTCACTATCGGAGCCTGCTGGCAAGGTACTTGATATTTGATTTATTTGAACAATACTTTATAGTATAACATTACAGTTAAGTTGCCTCCTCTAGTTATTTTACACTGTACCTGAACGCCAATCACTTTTTGAATCTGTAGTTTTCCACCCAGGAGCTGAAGACTTTGAGAACGGCTGCTTTAGGCCATAGAAGAGAGACATTAAAATACATTTGAACCTCCCCCTACACATATAATACACAATCCTCACGTTGTATATTGTATATATATATATATCATTGATTTGGAAAAGAATGCTAGTTTATTACCACCTTTTCTTATACTATAATGTAAAGTAAGTCTTGTTTTGTATTTTGATATACTGCCATTTATAGTCACTGCGGAGTTCAGTCCCTTCATACAAATGTGACATGGCTATACTTAATACTTATTGTTGAAAGAGGAGTTTAATTCATGCAGCCTATATGAGGGAGGATTTAATCTGCCCTATGTATTGTGCTTTAATTCTGATCAGTGCCTTGGTGCATAGTGTGCTTGTCTCTTGACCTGGTTACAGCCTCTCCTGCAGATCCTCACCCCTCCTCTCTCTCCTCTCTCCTCTCTCTCTCCTTGTCTGCTTTCGTCCTCTGCAGAAATCTCAGGACATGATAATGACACTGAGACTCCCTCTGAGCCCGCCTCAGGTTGCCTCCTTTACTACTGCTTCCCATGTGTTTCACAATGTCCCCCCATCATAACTGCATCTAAAACCCCAGCCACATCCATTTCATTTTTGACTCGGAAATGCGATCTATTTTTAGCATGAGCCTGCTGCTAATATACTATGTCTAAAGTCTGCTTTGTCTTCGTCATCCCATATTATTGTTTTCCATCGCATCACATTTTTGAAAACAGAAAAGGCACAGATGAGTAATAGATACTTTGCGTCTGCCTGTGGTATTTTGCGATGCTGGCTTTTCTTTCGACCTTGGGGTTAGTAGCTTCATCATATCCGATAACAAAGAATACACTCTGTGGATGGCTGCGACCTTGAAATGTGGACGGTCCGGCCTCACTGCAGTGGTGTCGTCTGGGCCTATTGTCACAAACATTTTAAACAGTTGTTTCGTGTATATGATAAATGCATTATTAACTGCTGTGTTAGAAAAAGGCAGTTATGTTAACTAGGTGATAATGAACTGATTTCCAAAACATTTCAGCCTTTATTTTTAGGACATTCTCCCCTTGAATGCTTCTGTTTTTGAATGCATATTGCACTAACATTTCTGGTGGAAGGTCCTCCATCTGCTCCATGAAGAGTACAAACTAACTGAGATTGTTTAAAGCCAATGGCAATGTTTTACACCAATGACTTCAAATAGATTTTCTCCTTATACAGTTTCCTCTTATCAAAGAAATCATTTGAAGATAATCAAAAGAAAAATTTGTCATATTTTACACAAGCATTTTCTTATTGTATATCAAAATTAATGCTGCTCAAATATGTTCAAAGGTAATACATATTGATCATAACAAAAACCAACATATTTTCTGGAATAAGAACTATTATTAGCTAATGAAGAAACAATGTTTATGATATTGTTTTGCTGTCCATACTGTTTAGCATGGATTCATGTTTTTTTCATTTATACATTTTTTATAGTTTTTTACTTAATGCTTGATTGCGTAATATACCAAACTACAATTTACAATACAAACAGTTTGGAAACAAGAAAGTGACGTTCTGCCAGAAAAGTGCCAAGTCTGAGTCCATGCACCAGTGGTTATGCAGCAGAAAGAGCATGCGCTTACCGTCTGTACAAAACCATTTTGTCTTTTTGGCACATTCACTAACATGCATGATTCAATACAGCTTTCCACAATGAGATGGCTTGTTTCTCTGCCCTAGAAAAAAAACTATTTTAAAACGTTATTATTAACAACTGCTTTTGCTTTTTTCCACAATAAATCCAGGTGGAAATGCTCGCATGGCCCAGTTTTTCAGGGGGAACTTGGCAGGTCTTATGATCCGTTCCGGAAAACTAGAGAACAAGAAGGTCATCGACTGTCTGTACACCTGCAAGGAGGGCCTGGATGTGCAGCTGCCCGAAGAGGTGGCCAGTGCTGTAAAGGTAACCACCACATGGGCCACATTCAGACCACTGACTGATCCTCCAGAGGGATATGTTTCACCTGGGTTTGTTTATTTGATAATAAGGCATAATTATTGGCAAATAGTCAGATTGGAAGACATTTAGATCATTTTATTTCCAGCATTAATTAACAGTAAATTATCTTGTCAAATATTATAAACATCTGGCTATCACTGTGTCTAGAGCTCTGTTACAGGCTGACAAATAAAAAAGAAATAAAAAAATACAAGGTTTACCAGCCTAAAAACCGCTCAATTTCAAAATAATTATGTTAAAATTATTGGGGCAAAACATGAACTACTAATCTAAAGATGTGAGCAAAATACTTGAATGTGAAATATAGTAATTGAACCAAACAAGGAACTCATTTTATCCCATAGTAGCACTGTGGTTTGTATGTCAGACACCCCAGCTACAAGTGAAAGTGAAATGGTTAAAGTGAATCTATCAAGAACGCCACTGCCTTATCAGTGATCACAACATGAAATCCTTTTATTCCTACATACAAAATGTTTTACTTTTGTTTGTGTGACTCAGGTGGACTTCAACCCAAACCAGTCTTCTCTGAGCGTGGAGGGCGACGACATTGACGCCTTTGACAAAGTGATGCAGCACATTTCGTACCTGAACTCCCGCCAGTTTCCCACCCCCGGCATCAGGCACTTGCGCATCTCCACCACTGTCAAGTAAGACATGTAATATATATATAGTGCCAATAATAAATTCTCAACATTTCAAGTGGAGAACTTCTGTTTTTTCCTCTAAATGATAAAGCAGCAGAACATATGTCATAGGCTTACTACTTCATTTCCATTACAGAGAGAATAAACATGTCACTGACTGCTGGGAGCCACAGATGCAGGGAACATTTTGTTGTTTTATTCTCTCTGATGTATTTATGAAAGAAACTGCGTGCATTTATTTAAAGCATTGGGCTTGAACGTCTCGTACAACTTTGCTACACAATGTCTAGATACGGTGAGGACACTTAACTCAAGGTTTTTTAATATTCGCTTCTTAATCAGCAAAAATACTTTTAACATTCCCCCCTTTGTTTATTTAAAAAGCATATAGACAATTCCTGAAAAGTCATTCATTCGTAGGGATGTAACGGTTAAACTGCTTACAACAGTAATAATATTGATCATTTATTTTCATCTAGACGCCTTTCGAACCCGCAAACTTACAGATAAAAACAACACAACATGTGAATTGATATTACAATTTTGTGTCTAAGGTAAAGTTCAGTCATAATTGGATGAATCTTAAAATACAAGAAACATTTGTTGATAAAAATCTAAAGAATTTTGTGAAGAAAGAAAGTGTAAATCTTGTGGAGTGGTTACATCAGTATTATATCAGCCCTTGTATTTGTGCAGGTGTTTCAATGAGGAGACGTGTGTGGCCGTGCCGGACGCTGAGGGTTATGTGATGGTGCTGCAGCCAGAGGAGCCGAAGATCAGCCTGAGCGGCATCGACCACTTTGCCCGCAGCTCCGCGGAGTTCGAGAGTCCGGAGGGGGTCACGCTGTTCCCCGAGCTCCGCATCGTCAGCACCATCACCAGGGAGGTGGAGGCCGACCCAGAGACGGAGGTGACCGAGGGCAACGAAGACGATCCCACTGGTGAGGATACATGTGGAGTGCAAAACGTGTGCACTTTATTCTAAAGTCAAATACGCAACAGTGTTAGTGAAGGTTTTCTTTTGAGTTGTCTCGTGTACAAACTGTGCAATACAAATAAATTCCACCTTGGCCTTGCCTTGAAAACTAAGAAATATGATGGCATAAGCGAGTATCAGAGCAGAGATTTGTCACTCCCACAGCACACACCTCATCTGTCCACTTGATATATTGTTGATATATAAAAGGCATCAGGATTTATGAAGAGCCAAGTACTTTTCATTGAACATTTGAAAATGGATCCATGGTACTTATGCTGGATCCACATATTCTTTTGTGAATTTTTTAAGGCAGTTGCTGACCAGAGATATTCTTGGTTGACTTAACAAAAAAGGGCTGTGGCAAAATAAATATTGTTCTGTACCTGACCCTCACTGTGCCAGCTTACATTTAGTCAAAGGAATTAAGAAATAATTCACTGAATAATGTATAGATTGATTTGATACATAAACGATTTAATGTAAATTCAGAGTTTGACCTGGCTTGAATATAATAAATTAAAAGTAAATGTTAAAATATCATATCTTCTCATTTTTGCTGTTTTCACATAGAAATATTTAATAATTGAAATTGAATAATTACTAATTCAAAAATTACTAAATTACTAAAGAACGTTCCCAAATGGTTAAGTGGGTGGATAATGCTGCAATGGTTTTACATGCAGTACTTTTTTTTTAGGGAGGCTTTCCATCATGCTCACAAAACTCTATGTAATCTTTCATACCTTTGAGTTGTGTGTAAAAAAAGATGTTGCTTTTAGTCATGAAAGAGCATTAAAGGTACAGATGACAGCCATGCAGATTTGTGTACAGTAGGCGGGAGTCTGAGGATTAGGTCTGTGAGAATAAAGGCGATGAGGAGTGTTTTATAGTGCAGGGGCGGGGCTGTTGCACCATCTGCTCGACCTGTGGAAAGCACTAAGGGCAGAGGAGACAATAGACGAACACTAGAGGCTGACACAAATACAGCCTGATTTAATGTCCTGTGGAGAACGGGAAGCCACAGGGACAAAAGGGATTACAGTGATCTCTTACCTGTATTAACCTGCTCCACCTTTATATAGGGGACAAAGCGGAAACGCTGTGGTCGATCCTATGAAGCAAAAACCATTCCCTTTATCAAAGCCAGACTGTGAGCTGAAGATTATTGTCAGTTTTACAGTTTTTATTAATAAATTCAGTGTATAAATGATATCATCAGAATGCATGCATTTATTCAATTATACATATTTTGTTGAAGAAGCTGCATGAATAAATATAAATATGTAAAGACTTTCTCATGGTAATCTTGGTCAGATCTAATGCATTGGTTTTTAAGTTCTTCTTTTTTATTTGTTTTTATTCTGACAATATGTGCCAGAACATTTTTACAATGTTTGAACCCTTTTTTCCTCATACACACCAGTGATTAGAAACTCCCTATCTCCACTGTTTTATGTAACAAAAATCGATTTCAAAAAGTAAGTAATGTTATATTTGTATTCCAGTTCAGGAGACCGTGGTGTCGGAGGAGATCATGCACAACCTGGACACCTGCGAAGTGACAGCCATCGGGGACGAACTGGACGGAGAGCACGAGAGTCTGGAGCTGGACGTGTCCCAGCTGCAGCAGCGCGGCCTGGAGATGAGCGCCTCTAATCTGGGGCTCGTCATCACAGGTGCACCACACACCACGGGACGGCCACAAACTACAACTGTCAGATTATTGTGCTGTAGAAGTTATAGATGTCCTTATCATAACCTTAACCTTGGCCTGAATCTTGTGATAAACTACAAGTCCAAAGAAAGAAATAGCATCCAAAATTACGGTGTTTTGCCCTGAAATAGATGATGAGATTTTTGATTATTACTATCAACTCCTCTTTGCTTGATTATATTATATTATTCATAAATAAATGCATGCATAGATGGATGTATTTGCCACATGTCACATGCACAGTAGCTATAATACAGTTAAAGTCACTGAAACTACATTTTGATAAAGACAGTTTGATGGCGGTACACTTAAATGTTAAGGCTGCAGCAAACTGCACGTGTCACATTTTACAACCATCTTCACTTTGTCACAAGTTTGATGGTTTAATGTTTTGTCTATTTCACTTTTTCACAATAAAGGTCAACCAACACTTAAATAACCCTCAATTGATCTAAATTTTACATATTTAGAAGCTGACTAACTGTGAATACTCACTAAATCTTGAGAAATTAGTTCCTAAAGTGGACAGGGAAGTCTGGGCGTCGCTGCTTAGACTGCTGCCCCGGCGTTCCGGCAACGGATGAAGCGGAAGAAAATGAATGGATTAGTTCCTATATCCATGTAGTAAAACATGTTGAATAATGAATTTCTATTGATCCAACGATTTTCACATAAGTTGCAGAGAGAATGTAAAATATCCTAGGCTCTCTTGTTTACTTATTCCGTATAGGTCCTCGATGAGCACTCTCCACTCCTCGTTTAATCTTAACAAATGTTTTTTCATTAGTTAAACGTGGATGTAGAATACTGCACATCGCTAACACATTCTGTCTTTGTTAAGGTGTGAACACGATGTCGAACTACGAGCAGGTGCTCCACTTGATTCGCTACAAGAACTGGCACACGGAGGCGCTGTTCGACAGGAAGTTCAAACTGGTGTGCTCCGAGCTCAACGGCCGCTACATCAGCAACGACTTCAAAGTGGAGGTCTCTGTCTGATTTTGAATCGATTTTGAAATCATTAAATCAATCCCTAAACATATTTATTTCAAACATATGTACACATTCAACAAGAAACAAATATGGTACAAAATTAACTGCAATACACAGTCCTTTGGTTCCACACACACACACCACACAGACGTACACTCTCACACTTTCATTCAAACACACACACCACACAGACGTACACACACTGACATTCATTCAAACACACACACCACACAGACGTACACACACTCACATTCATTCAAACACACACACCACACAGACGTACACTCTCACACATTCATCCAAACACACACACTCACACATTCATTCAAACACACACACATCACACAGACGTACACACACTAACTTTCATTCAAACACACACACCACACAGACGTACACACACTCACTTTCATTCAAACACACACACCACACAGACGTACACACACTCACACATTCATTCAAACACACACACCACACAGACGTACACTTTCACACATTCATCCAAACTAGGGATGTAAATCGGCGACCGTTTAACCGGTGGTTGACCGTCACAGCGTTAACCGGTCAAAGCTGTCGGTTAAAAAAGAGAAAAAGGGGACGGGGGCGCTAGTGAGCGTAGCCATGTGAAGTTGTTTTTTTTCCGAGCTCCTCCGCATGGTCTAGATCAGCCATTCCCAAACTCAGTAACACCGAGGCCCCCTTAAAAATCTGACGGGTCTGCGTGGCCCCCCAAAATAATAACCAAGAAGACAACATTAAGAATAAGCTCTTCTGGTTATTTTATTTTGGGGAAATAGCCTCTGCTACAAACATTGTAATACAAAAATGATTACAGTGGATTATTCAAGTCAAATAATGAACACAAATATTTTAATATTACAAACAAAACATTATAAATTTAATATTAAATAATTATATATATATATATATTTTTTTTTAATGACCTCCCGCGGCCCCCCTGCAGTACCCTCGCGGCCCACCAGGGGGCCGCGGACCCCACTTTGGGAGACACTGGTCTAGATTTTTACATTTTAATAACTCCAAAGTGGCCCCGAACCTACCCCAAAAACTACCTAAGGTTGTAAGGACCAGAACCGATTCACATTTGGATTTCATCTACTCAAATTTCGGAAACGGTGGGTGGATCATGAGCAAAAACAGAGGCCAGAGAGACCAGGCCGCAAAAGCCCCGGATCCGCCTGCGGCTGCTGCTTCCCCGGACATGAATGTGCTAATGGAGGCTATTGCTAATTCAGAGAAGACAATACTGGAGCGAATTGATTCAAGCACGAAAGACCTGAACGACAAGATAGACACTATCAAAGAAGATATAGTGAAGCAGGACACCCGCTTGCAAGATGTCGAATCTGGTTTGAATGTCTACTCGGATCGCACAGAGAAATTGGAGGATGGTGTTAGCGTGCTGCGGGCGGAGGTGGCTCGGCTAGCTAACAAGCTAGATGACCTGGAGGGGCGTCAGCTCCGATGCAACGCACGCATCGTCGGGGTGAAAGAAGGCTTTGAAAACACCGGGAAGCCGACAGATGTTATTGCCACCATGTTAAAAGACGTACTGGGTCTCGGATTCACCCCTATGCTGGACCGAGCCCACCGCGGCCTGCAGCGACCGGCCCAAAATGGAGACCCTCCCAGAGTGATCGTGGTAAAATTTCATTACTTCCAGGAGAGAGCAGAAGTGTTTAAAACAGCCGCAAACTCGTCGCCACTGAAACTACAAGGTCGGAGAATAAGCATTTTTCCTGACTACACGGCTGATGTGGCCAAAAAGAGAGCTGCTTTCAATGAGGCCAAGCAACTGCTCCGTAGCTGTGCTGGTGTCAAGTTCGGGGTTCTGTTCCCAGCGGTCCTACGAGTCACTTCAGCAACAGGGCAAGACAACCGGTTCACCGACCCATCGACGGCAATTGACTTTATCAAGAATAACTTACAGCCATAAGGATTAATGGCACGCATATGTGCGAAGATAAAAGTGCTTGAATAAGACTGGAAGGTGAAGGGACATCATCCTACTGCATTGGACTCGGAGCAGAGTCTACATCATCCCTTTGCCTTACTTCCTATACCAAGGTATCGTTTGTTGTTAACGGGGACGTTGCGCCTTTTGTGAAGTTTATTTTTACACTAAGTTATGTTAAATACTGTTACCATTTATGATTCATTGACTGTCACTTTAACTGCTAATGTTGTACACATTTAGTGGACAACATTGGGGGGGGGAGTTGCTTTGGAGTTCGATTATATTTTTCATGTAAGAGGAGCTGTTAGGCAGCTATGACTAGTTACAGTGTGGTACTAGCTATGTGGGATGCGATCTCAGGGTTGTTCGTAGATGCATGGGGTTTTGAAGCTCTTTTTATTTTTGGGTTTAATTGACAGGAGTGACACTTTTTTCAGATGTACGACTCACAGTTTTAATGGCGGATTCACAAAACAGTAACCGTCTTCGCTTAGTAAGTTGGAACGTCAAAGGCATAAACAATCCGATTAAACGTACCAGAATTTTTACACATCTGAAATCTATTGGTCCTGATGTAATATACTTACAGGAAACGCACCTCAGATCAACCGAGCAGACCAAACTTAGGAAACCATGGATAGGGCAAATATTTAGCTCTAAATATGATGACAGAACACGGGGAACTGCTATTCTTATTCGGAAAGGAATTCCATTCATACCAATATCAACCATTGCGGATAATCGGGGAAGGTATGTGATTGTGAAAGGCAGTGTGTATGGGAAACATGTTATTCTAGCCAATGTGTATGGGCCTAACTGGGATGACCCTGGCTTCTACTCATCTTTTATAGAAAAACTAACTGACCTAACAGAATGCCAACTAATATTAGGTGGAGACTTTAATTGTGTGCTCGACTCGCAGCTCGACAGGTCTAATCCAAGACCCAATAGTAAAACTTTCAAAAGCTGGTAATGTTCTTAAAAACTTTATGGATTGTTATGCCCTATCAGACCCCTGGAGAAGCAAAAACCCTACAACCAAGCTGTTTTCTTTTTTCTCACCTGTACATCGTTCATATTCAAGGATCGATTTTTTTATTTTGGACAAGAGGATTTGCTCTAACGTGACAGACAGCCATTACAATGCAATAGTTATATCGGATCATAGTCCAGTGCAATTAGATATTGCCTTCCCGGAGTGCCCCAGACCTAGACGCACATGGCGGCTTGATCCTTCACTTTTGACTGCAGAGTCATTTAGAGAAAAGATTTCTAAGGAAATAGATAATTTTATTGAAATAAATCAGACTCCTGGAACTCAAATGAACCTTGTCTGGGAGGCACTGAAGGCCTATCTTAGGGGCCATATTATATCATACTCAGCATTCCAAAAAAAAATAAAAAATCAGAAATTAACTGAGCTGGCTGACCAAATAAAAGAGACTGACCAGCTTTATGCAGAGGCCCCGACAGCGGATCTATATAAAAATAAATTGCTATTAAGTACTGAATATGAGAATCTGTCAGTGTCACAAACTGAGCGCATGTTTTTTAAATCAAGACAAAAGCTCTATGAACATGGGGAAAGAGCAGGGAAACTTCTGGCACATCAAATTAAACAATCTGCAGCTGCCAACACTATATCCGAATTTCAGAAACCCACAGGAGAAAAAACAATGGACATTCATGCCATTAATGATCAGTTTAAACATTTCTATTCTAATCTTTACTCTTCAGAATCTGTCGATAAAAAAAAGCCTTACTCAATTCCTTGACAGTTTGCTCTTCCCACGGATATCTCCAGAAGACAGAACCCGAATTGATGAAGAGATTACGTTAGGTGAAGTTGTTCAGGCAATTAAATCAATGCAAAATAACAAGGCACCGGGACCTGACGGTTTTCCCATCGAAATTTACAAACTTTTTATAGATAAATTGGCACCAATACTCAAGGCTACGTACCACGAAGCACTCAAATTGGGAAGATTACCAATTACAATGACTCAAGCTATAATTTCGGTGCTGCACAAAAAGGACAAAGACCCCTTACAGTGCAGTTCATACAGGCCTGTGAGCCTTTTAAACTGTGATTATAAAATCCTCACAAAAATCCTAGCCAATAGAATTGACTCCACACTACCACAAATCATTGACACAGACCAAACCGGGTTTATTCCGGGAAGACAGTCTTACTACAACATGCGCCGTTTGCTGAATATTTTATATTCACCAGAATCTACCAAACAAAAAGAAATAATACTTTCCTTGGACGCAGAAAAGGCCTTCGACCGCGTCGAATGGCCATACCTCTTTTCGGTCCTAAAGAAATTTGAGTTTGGTTCTACATTTCAAAAATGGATAGAGATATTGTACTGTTCTCCAGCTGCTGCGGTTCGGACAAACAATGTACTTTCAGATTTCTTTAAATTAGGCCGGGGATGTAGGCAGGGTTGTTGTCTTTCACCTTATCTTTTCGATTTAGCAATTGAACCGTTAGCTATAGCCCTCAGAATGGACAATCAGATAGCTGGGATTTCCAGGGGTGGAATCACACATAAAGTATCACTTTATGCGGACGATTTAATGCTTTATATTTCAGAGCCAGACATGTCTGTTCCAAGACTGCTTAAGTTGTTAGATAATTTTGGACATATATCGGGGTATAAATTAAATTATTCAAAAAGTGTATTATTCCCGATAAATAATAGTATTGATGACAGTTATTCTATATTTCCCTTCAAAGTAGAAAAGAAGACATTTAAATATTTAGGTATAAATGTAACGCACACAATAGATGAGTTACGTGCTCAGAATTTTGATATTTTGCTGGAACAAACATCACAGGATTTTAAAAAATGGGCAACATTACCAACCTCACTAGCAGGCAGAATAAACATTGTTAAAATGGCTATTTTGCCTAAGTTTCTTTATGTCTTCCAAATGATCCCCATTTTCATACCTAAGTCAATATTCAAAAATTTAGACAAAATAATTGCAGCATTTATCTGGAATAATTCAAATCCTAGAATGAAAAAGACCTATTTGGAAGTACCGAAAGAAGCAGGTGGACTTGGGCTTCCCAATTTTATTTTCTACTACTGGGCAGCTAATATTTCCAAAGTGTTACATTGGAAATATACATATGAAAATAATCAAGGGGAGGTCTGGGCTCGAATGGAATTGTCGTCTAATCCGTTACCTTTATTAACCGCCCAGCTATCCCAGGGTCAGAAACAACAACAGAATAATCCAGTTGTAAAATCATCTGTACGGATATGGCTTCAGTTTAGGAGACATTTTTCATTTCGGGAGGTTAGCCGATTTTTCTCTGTATCTTCCAACCCGTTCTTCTTACCCTCCATTTCAGACAAGGCATTCCAAAATTGGCACAATAGTGGGATCAAGTTTTTTCATGAACTTTTTACAGGCAACACATTTTGCGCTTTTGATGTTTTGACCAGGGATTACAATATTCCCACTTCACACTTGTTTAGGTATTTGCAAATACGCAGTTTCGCCAAGACCCTATATCCTTCATTTCCATATTTACCAGCTAAAAACCAGGTTGACACCATCTTAGAGCTTGATCCTTTTGGTAAAAAACGGATATCTGCCCTATACAAACTGATGCAAAAAATTTGTCCAGTTCAATGGGAAAAGGCAAGACACTCCTGGGAAAGGGATTTTGAAGTTGACCTTTCTGACAAGGAGTGGAACTCCTGCCTGACCCGGATACATACCTCATCCTTCTGCATTCGCCATGGCCTAATTCAATTTAAAGTACTGCACCGGCTTCACTACACAAGGGAGAGACTGGCCAAAATGTATCCCGGGGTTGATCCAGCATGCCTCAGATGTGGCCATAGTCCTGCAACTGAGGGCCACATGATCTGGTCTTGCCCCTGCCTTGACAGCTATTGGTATAACATATTCCGAGTACTGTCTCACATCAGTGGACAGGACTTGACGCCAGATTTTCGGATTGCGGTTTTTGGAATAATGACCAAAGTTAGCAGGATTAATCGATTTCAGGAAAGCGCAATAGCATTCGCAACTCTAGTCGCACGCAGACTTATCCTATTTAACTGGAAGTCGGATACGGCTCCGTCATTTACACAATGGTTGAAGGAGGTGCTTTCCTTGTTACCCTTAGAAAAAATCAGGTACCGGGTATTGTCATCACAAGACAAGTTTACCACCACATGGACCCCGTTACTAGATTTTGTAAAAACGTTTCCTTTTGATGTTTGATTTAAACAAATTATTTGAAACAATATGAAGACCAAATTAAATCCTGTCTTTTCCCCTTTTTTATTTTGTAGAAGAGCTGGGCTGGGGGGAGGGTTTTGTTTTTGTTTTTGTTTCATGAAAAGAAATATTGTATGAATCCATTTGTTTATATTTCTATATTTTGCTAAACTTATTTTGAATATCTCTCTGTTTTTACCTATGCAAAATCTATAAATAAAGTTGAAAAAAAAAAAAAAAAAAAAAAGAGAAAAAGGGGAGAGGGGAGGTTTCTTAATTACGCTATTTTAAGCCCTATTTGCACGGTGTGACGAGCGGGTCTGTATCTAGCTGTGTGCGCCCATGTATTATAAACTCCGGGACGACTCTCACGCCGCACGAGCCACATATGCACACACGCGCGCACACACACACACGCACACGCGCACACACGCGCACGCGCACATACACACACACACACACACACACACACACACTTTCCCCCTCTCCATACGTAACATCCACACGCATCATCTCTCCCCTCTGTTACCGTCAAAGTTGCACACTGGCGCGGGTCAGAACTACATTGGAGCTTACATTTACACACACACACACATATACATACACACACACATATACATACACACACACACATACACACATACATACCGGTCTGTCGCGCTCCTCTGTGTCACGGAGCCCAAAGGATTCGCGCAAATACGCGGCTCCAGTCAAACCACATGGACCATGTTTGTGTTTATGGTCCTCAGGATCAGCTCCACACACATCACTTGTATTTAAACTTTTGTGAAGACCTGTGAGACGCGGCTCGTCACTCGCTGCTCTGACCATGTGAACGAGCCGTCGTTTGCTGCTAGAAAGTCTTCCCGCAGCAGAATGGGAAGATTAAAAAAGCAGTTCTCTGTGCGCAAAGGTGCCGGAGCTGTTGCGGGTTTGGGCGCCGCTGTCTCAACTCTGATCCAGTAGAACGCTCAGCTGCACTTATGAAAAGTACGTGGCTCGAAATGGCTGTTATTTCAAAGAACGTGGACTATTTTAAACTACGCGGTTAACCGGTTTCAACCGGTTAATGAGGCTCGGTGGTCGGTCATGAAAATTCATAGTTTTTTACATCCCTAATCCAAACACACACATTCATCCAAACACACACACTCACACATTCATTTAAACACACACACCACACAGACGTACACACACTCACATATTCATTCAAACACACACACCACGCAGACGTACACACACTCACTTTCATTCAAACACACACACACCACACAGACGTACACACACTCACACATTCATTCAAACACACAAACCACACAGACGTACACACACACTCACATTCATTCAAACACACACACACCACACAGACGTACACACACTCACACATTCATTCAAACACACACACACCACACAGACGTACACACACTCACACATTCATTCAAACACACACTCACACATTCATTCAAACACACAGACGTACACACACCACACAGACGTACACACACTCACACGTTCAGTCAAACACACACACCACACAGGCGTACACACACTCACACATTCATTCAAACACACACACCACACAGACGTACACACACTCACACGTTCAGTCAAACACACACACACCACACAGACGTACACACACCACACAGACACCACACAGACGTACACACACTCACACGTTCAGTCAAACACACACACCACACAGGCGTACACACACTCACACATTCATTCAAACACACACACCACACAGACGTACACACACTCACACATTCATTCAAACACACACATCACACAGACGTACACACACTCACACATTCATTCAAACACACAAACCTCACAGACGTACACACACTCACACGTTCATCCAAATACACGCCCTCACACTTTCATTCAAACACACAAACCACACAAATGTACTGTACACACACACACACATTACACAATACAACCAAAACAACACAAATTAAAATGTAGCGTCCGCACATAGCTTAAAAGGAAGACATTTTGTAGAATATTATTTTAAAACGTACACAATACACATAAGAACGATTGAACAAATACGTATTTTTCAAGTAAAGTGTCAACATTGATCTTGATTTTTCTTGTTTAGGTGAACGTCATCCACACGGCCAGCCCGGAGGAGCATGCTAACAACGCCATGATGCAGGCCAACTTCATCAACCCGGTTCACCACGCCTCAGTGGACCTGTCGGGCCATAACCTGGTCAACGCTCACCAGGCCTCAGGTAATGGGACAACGCAGCGAAAATTAAGATGTAAACAATTTGAATGGGAAAGTGAACGAGCTGTTTCAGGCTATTGTGAAATAATACAGTACTATGGTATTCATGTTTTGTGGTAACTTTGTGATAAAGGCTTGGGAAAAAAAAACTCAAACCCAAACTAGAAATCCAAATGCTGATGCAAAATTGTATTGCAAAACAGATACCATGTGGATAAAGTTTACTACATTCACGCCCTTGTCATACATAATATATTCATTACATTTATAATTAATTTGTGCAAGTATTCAAGTACTTCTTCAACAACATTTTCATTTAATCTCCTTATTTATCTGCTCAAAAGCTACTTGGCCTCCTAACACTACCATGTGGATTACAGTCCATGCGGAGAAATAGGACGCATATATAAAAAGGCGGGTTATTTGGCAGTATTTGTTAATGGGACAAGTTTGAGGATTATACTTGAGTGCTTTCTCCATCTGTGGAGGGCGCCCATTGAGCACAACCTTTTTTGTCCCTGGATAATTCAGTAATCAGATGGTTGTCATCCACCCTTTCAGAGCACTAAAAGGTTTCTGTGCATAAGGTAAAGTGTATATTATTATATGGAATGGATGACTTATGACGTAGCAACAATCATGTGTTTTACATCATTATTGAGCAGTGGTTCTCAAAGGGGGGGTCGGGACACTGGCTTGGGGTTGTAATGATTTCCAGAGTATATATCTTTTTGTCAAACTAGATGAAATGGCACAATAAGTTACTCCAATACAAAACATTAGTAGATTAGTAGTCATTTGTAGATGCTACAAATGACTACTATTGCTATTATATTGTATTCTTAAGTGGGGATCACAAGGGGGTTTCAAATGTATTTGGTTTGGGAATCCCTGGATGATTGACACAAAGACGAATGGATTCTTTCTTTATTCATAACTTGCTTGGTGTATTGCAGTGCTTTAAATAACATTCAGTCGACAAATAAATCCTCTGAACCTTGATAGTGTTAAAATGACAAATCATATCTTTTTTACCATGATTCTACACTTTTAGTGAATAAATTAGCAGGTCTAAACAAGTCTTCAAATGCAAATGTTTTCTCTACATCTGAAACATTTTCCGAAGCATATCTAAGATGGATGCCTCGATTATTTGTCATGTCACTCAAATGATTATAGTGTTTACTGACTCATGAAAATATGCTGGCATTTTGCTCCTTGGTTGAGCATAATAAGTCGTGACAGAAAATAAATGAAAGTGAACAAACACCTACTGGGATTTTAATAGGATTATAATGGAACATGTCTGCGTAGCCTAAATACGTACCATTGTTTTGGCTGTAATTGTCTGTCTCTGTCTGTTGCAGTCGTGCCCAGCGCAGCCACCATTGTGATTGTGGTGTGTGTGAGTTTCCTGGTCTTCATGATAATATTGGGAGTGTTCAGAATCCGCGCAGCTCACCAACGCACCATGAGAGACCAGGAGAACGGCAAAGAGAACGAGATGGACTGGGACGACTCCGCACTCACAATCACGGTCAACCCCATGGAGGTATGGGTGGGAGGAGGGGATGAAAATTATGACCAAAAATAACCAAGGTTAAAGTGGTTCTCACCCCCGCTCCTCAGAGCTTACGTCACTCACATTTCCTGTTCAAATCTTCCTCTAAATGGGCGTAGCCTGGAGGACTGAAGGGGGCGTGAACGAGACTGGGCCGTTTACATTGCTCTGGGCGGGGGGCTGCTGACGTCAGGTCTTGCTTCAGACGTCAGGTCTTGCTGCCGCGCTAGTGTTGGCGCCCGATTCAAAATTCAAATGTAGTAATACAGGTCGCCAGCAGATGGCGCCTCACAGACGGTTTTAGGCAGAAAGTTTAACTTTCAACTAATTTGCACCAAAGTGACAAAATTATGACCAGGATATGTAGACAACACTATTGGACACTTATTTATACCGTTTATCAGCAAAAAAAAAGTGGATTTGAGGGTGAGTTGTCCTTTAACAATAGAATGCATTTTAAATATGTTTAGCTCCAGGATGAAGCTTCATGGTGGCTGGGTGAGACTCAGGGTGGGGATTTCATCTCTTTTTTATTGCAGCACAGATAAGAGCCATGAGGTGGGAGGGTGTGGTCCAAGCTAGAATAAAAGCCTTCAGGGGGACAGAGGAGTGGATGAGAAAGTCAGGTGTGATTTGCCCTGCTCCTGAACCTCACTTCATGTTTTAATAACTCTATCATAGAGTCGTGCGTTCTGTCATGTTTAACAAAAACAACACACTTTTTAAGAAGATATGGGATTTTTGTATGTATAGTTATTGGTTTAGTTAAACAGGGACAATGCACATAAATGATCTTATTTGGTTTATAGAAAATCCTTCACAATCACAGAATTTGTAGAAAAGGTTTCAACGATATTCCAATAAACATTGTCCCAATGCGAGTGGACCCATCGTAATGGTATCCATAAGAGACTTGTTTTGAAGATGGTGTTTTGTTTGGCCGAGGATGAGTCAGTTCAACACCACACAGAGGCTATTTTAAGTGGCGTGACGATGTCTCTCCCACAGACGTACGAGGACCAGCACAGCAGTGAGGAGGAGGAGGAAGAGGAGGAGGAGAGTGAGGAAGGTGAGGAGGAAGATGACATCACCAGTGCCGAGTCGGACAGCAGCGAGGAAGACGAGGGGCCTGAGCCCGAGGACCAGCCCGGCGCGAGCAGACAGCAGCAGCTGGAGTGGGACGACTCCACTCTCACATATTAAAGCAACACTGCACACATCTCCAGCACCATCCCATGTCTGCCAGGAGCCGTCATGTAAAAATACAAGTCCTTCAGCGTATATATATATTTACATATATATATGGTCAAGATTTTCCTGTTGTTCTTCTTGGTGGTACGAAGTGTAATGTAGTCATCACCGGATTGCTGAATTTGACTATTTTTTTTATTTATTAATTGAATTCCCAGGAAAACTTGGCCTACATTTGTTTTGGACTGAATGCAGAAGCTAACCCTGCACTTTTGTTTTTATCTCTTAATTTAAACAATTTTCAAACTGAATCCAAATGTACAATATTCCTTATTACTGCTTTTTGTTTTAGATTACATATTGCGGCAAATGCACAGCTTGAGTTGTAGTTGACCGTGAATACGCTTTGAACCAGTAACCAGCTTTTCCCTTCTTTTTAGTGCATGAGGGCATTGAAACATCACATATAGATTTAAGCTTTTTAACATGTGTGTAAATATAAAGAATCCATGTAATTAGTCAGTGTCTTAGTGATGGCCTTTCTCCATTGGGTCCAATTTATGATACAAAGTTGTGTCTGATATTTGTGTTACAAAAAAGCTGTAGCATGTGGCTAGATTAATGCAAAAAAGCTTTCCAGTTATGCTGTTTCCAAGCTTTGTCTTTTCTTTTCTGCAATGAGAAACCTGATGGTTTCAGTTCTCGCTGAGCTTGGATAAGTAGCAGCTCTCCAAATATTGACATATTTGGTGTAATGTTTGAATACAATGCTACATGGTTTAGTGTTGCAATCTTTCTGTCATGTACAATGTTTTAAGTCATTTTTGCAGCAGATATGACCTGATCTTGAGTGTCAGAAGGAGAAAGAAACACTTCTGCTTTTTTAGTTAGTTGCTATTTCAGTTTTTGTGGAATAAAGAAAGGTTTTTGCTAGTACTTTGCAGAGTTTGACATTTGTTTACATTTAGTAAACTGCTTTTGGTATGGCACAAGTAATTTGGGAAAATTATATCATGACACGGCTTCTGCTACTACGCTACACTACCTTTGTAAATACTTTTCACCACAACACACTTCGATGTTTCTCATAGAATGCGTTTTGATTTGGACTAAGAAGAATGTTTATCAATTTTGTCAGTTCTTGTTTGTTATAATAGCCAATGCTTGTATGTTATGCTAATTTTAGTAGCACAACTAATTTAGATTAATTTATGATTTTCAATTTTGTGTTGGTGTCTCCCTTCATGATGACCGGGCTGCACATGTTCAGGTCTGAGCTTGTCGAGATGGGAATGCCTTTTTACCAAGCATATTATTATTCTCTTTTTTTAATCCATTTCTTAAGCTGGGGATTCCATTCTTTTGAATAAACAACCATCGCTACTTTGTGTTTCACATAGTTGTCCGTGTCCATGTTGATGTGTAGTTAGCTCCATATTGTATCTTCTATAGATATTGTACTGAAGCATATTGTTCTGAAACTCATCCTCTAAAATGTTGTACAGAAACATGAAATATGAAAATGGCTTTGGCAGCATACATGGTTATACTGTTAAATTGACATATTTGTGTATAGTAGAAAGTCATTTTGAAGTGTCTTATTGCCTGAGTTGTTGATAGAGGGTTTTTGAGGGCAGCATGTCTTTCACAGGAATATACTGATGACTCTTGTTGACTATTTCACAATTTCATCTCAAACTTTATACATAGCTTAATGTGTCAGGATAATTATCATTTGTCAGGTTACATTATTCCTTTTATAATCCAACCTTTGGTGTTCAATAAAGTGAATGTCACTGCCTATAAATCTAAAAGCAGCCATAGTGTGAGCCACATAAGGGGGAGTTACATTGCATGTCCCACAAATGATGAATGAATTATTCCCATGATGAATAATATTCTGTTCACCATTTAAATCTCATCACATGCCCACACCACTACAAGTGTTTTACTTTGATTTTTGTCAGTTTTATTTTATTCTGAAAATGGAAAGATTCAAGTTGTTTCCAGGACTGTTGGATTCCTCCTTTGTGCTTGTTGGAGCTGCTCTCACTTTTCTACCAATTCTAAGGCAAATTATAGTAAAGTCAATGCTTGCTCATGAACAAAATAAAGGATGATGGAGATGGGAAATAAAGCTGGTGTTTTTCCTTTTCGGTCACTCACTGACATGACATGAGTAAAATAGACGCATCTTCCATGCAAGAGGCACAAGCGCCCCCTAGTGCTGGAAACAAAGCACCTGTAAAGAATTTCACTGAGTTAAAACCAAAAGGTTTTTTTTTTCATCTGCACATTTTGAAAATGTAATGAAGTACGTGAAATCGGCACAAAAACATGGCAACATTGTTAATTCCCGTTTTTATTCTATGACAAACAATAGAAAGGCTGAATATGTAATTACAAAATATAGGCATAGTGTGCTCACCGTAAACAGCATGTATTTCATCATGTCTGAAGGACTGCAAATATTATTATTCAGGAAAAATAAAACACATACAAAAGTTGCCAATCCTATAACACTATAAAATACTTTGCATTACACCAAAGGGTTATTTACATTCAAGAGTAAAATGGCACACATCACAAATTCACACGTATGACTTATGGTTTGGTTTTCACACCAGAGCTAGCTAAGGCCATGATCTTATCCTCAGATCCTGAAATAAAGAAAAACAGAAGTTAGTGTAACGTCTCATCAACCTCCAAGTAGAACATATATATTCATTCTCACCTATATTTGCTGTAATTTTTTCAAATTGGCTCAGAGTTGCGGTTGCATTTTCTACTAAGAAAGACTCATCTTCTGCAGTAAGCTGTAAGTAAATGTTCATCATGTTACATGTTACATCAAATTACAAATCCAAGATGTATATACATTACACATTCATGAAAACTAAATTACAACTACAATACAACATTAATCTGTTCCTAGCTGCATTTAAATAGCCTGACTCTCGCCAGACCCATGTAGTTCGCTGCACTTCACCATGTGGTTCAGCCAAACGCCTCTGGTGGAGCATGGCGGAACTACAAGGGTCTGGCTAGCATTTAAAGTCACGAACGGATCATAATGACTTAGAACTAAAACAGGCTGATCGAGTAAATCCAGTGTGTCAAAACTAAAAGCTGAGGGCAAGATGCTGTTTCATGCTTTTTGATGAAATTTAATAACAAAAAGAAAACAAATCCATAAATCACAGATGATTAATTTGAATCAGAGCCACTGGCCCTCATTTAAGAAACTTGCACAGAAAAGGGTCTACGTTTTGGGTGTGTATTCCAAATACGCAAGATCCAACGTGGGATTTATGAACATGTGAGATCTGCCCAGATTCGAGCGTAAACACCTGCGGCTATTAATAAATGCAGCGGATGAAAACTAACGTATTATAAAAGTCACGCCAATAAATATGCAGCAACCGCCTGTTTCATGCCCAGTTTATATAATAATAATAATAATAATAATAATAATAATAATATTAATATATATATATATATATATATATATACATACACATACATACTAATAGCCATTACCTGAGCCCGGAGAAAGCTAAATCACTGTCATAAATCACAACTGCTGCTGACTCAGCCTCATGAGCCATTGAATCATTCGGAGCTGGGAATTCTTCCCCCCTCCCTGCATACAAGAGACTCACCTTCTCACCCAGCTTCCGCAACGCAGTGAGAATTTCCATTTTTTGTTGAGTGTAGACATCACGTGACAATTTCCCCACCATAACATCTCTGTCCATCTGTGAAGAAAGTCACATGAGAGTTAAACAGAAGTGCCAATCAATCAACTGTAATGCAGAGGTGAATAGCACACTTTTTTATTTCTTTTCAGGTTTCTTTCAGAGATTAGTTTAATTCCTTAACTGTCCACCTCCGCTATAACAATAACATCAATTTGAGTACTTACTTCTCCTAACCTGGTCCTCAGTTGCCCAGGCTGTTTCTTAGCAAATAACCGAATAACCTCTGGGGTTTTGAATGCTTGGCTGATGGCTGCTTGGATCGCCTAGTGAAGACATTTTTATAAATAATGTAATAAAACACATTACATTATTATAACAAAAAAAAGATATTTATTTGTTAAAAATCTGTTTAATACCAGCTGCATGCCACCCAGTTCATCCACCAGTGTCATATCCCCGGTCATGATTTTCTTCAAGGAATCATTAAACTCACTCAACTGCTCCAGCGTCTCCTTTTTTGTCTCTTCATACTCATCTTCATCCAAATCTTCTCTGAAAATAATCATTAATTGCCAAAACAAAGAGTTTGTAGCTAGTCACTTAAAAATAATGTTGAGAAAAAAATTATAAAAGATAAGATAAATATAATTTATCTCACATTATAAAAATGCATTTGACATGGATATAATCACTAGTGAATTGTTTGGGATTGAATGTGAGTCAAACCTGCATTCTTCCAAGTCTTGCAGCTGCTGCATCAGTCTGTCAAGCTGCTCTTCCATATTCTGCCGTAATTTGCCAGTTTCTGATTTTCCACGGGATGCCATGATCTGAATCTCTGAAACATGAAATGTTATATTCAAGTAAGAGTTACATGAGATGTCAAACAACATACACAGAGTATGTTGACAACTTGGGCCACGTGAAAGTACAATTGTGTTTATATTTCTCACCCTTTTTATTTGTTGTTTCTTTTTATTTTACCTTAATGCTTAGGATTGTTGATAGCTCAGATTTCGTTAGCAAGCTAAATGGCACCTCTTACCTTACTACAAAGAAGCAGAATCCAGTACTATTCGACCAAACAGATTGTCTTCTTTTCATAAAGCAAAATATGTATCAAGAGTTTGTGTTAAAGTCTAATATCTTTATGATAAAGTATTGTTTGACATTATAACCATAGGTATTACAGCCAGTGTGTGCGGTTCACTTGTTCCGGGTGCGTTCACCAATCAAATTCTCAGCTCAACTGCTACGTTCAAAAATATCGTTTGCCATAGATGCGTAATGGTGATACCGTGACTTTTAAGTTTTACAATGCAATTACTTCTAAATTCCTGGCAACACATTTTCACAACCTCACTTATTTTTTCAAGTAAGGAAAATAAAAACATGTAACCAATATACACATTTAAATCATATGAAAATACACCAGAAAAGAGTACAGTTGAGTTGTACCTTGAACGCCACATCCCCCTTTGCTCCAGGGAAAACAGCAGCACACCGAGATACGCTAGCTTCGCTGAGACTGGTAATATATATGTCTTTTTTCTGTGTTTGTGCCGATTAGACAATAAAGGCTCAGGCATTAAAGCATTTCAGTTATTCATCTATCTGAGTTCATTAGTGGCTGTCGATTGTAAGTAATTTGCAGTCAACTAACTAGCTTTCAAGGATTCAGGCTAGTAGTTTGTTTGTGTTAGCAGAACATAATGAAAAGTTAAAGCAATGTTGTGATTCTGATTTTATTTTTATTTGAATGGGGACTGTGTACAATGTTACAATAATTAAAAAAGCAAATATGCCTTCTACCAGACACATTACAGTACATTTCTACTCCCTGGGCATAAAGGTGTATCGACGTTACAATTAAGAGCATTATAAGCCGTAAAATGTTAGGTACTTGCATTTTCTCAAAATGCAGGTAACACAAGTATATTTAGCTAAAATAATGATATTTAATTCAAAAGTATTATACCATACTTTTTTGTTTCCAGATGTTACAATCATCAATAAAATAATAATGCTTTCTACATAATGGCTTATTCACATTGCATTATTCAGTCATTCAGTGCCACTGTAGACAGTTGATTCTTAAGCTCCACCAATATATGCACACTATACCATTTGAAGTACTAAATTAAAGAGTGTGTTTTTGTTGTTGAGTGAGTGTGGTTGTGTAGCAGGGATGTTGATCTAGAACCTTGCTCTCCTTCCTGTACATTCCCACATATTTTCCTATTATTCTTCACATACTGTGATTTTATTTGTGTAAAAATCAATTATCAAATACATGAACAACTTCTTCATACAAGCTGTGCCAAAAAGCTAAAAGTTAATGAATGTTTGACCTTGATATTGTACATATTTAAATCTCTTTCTTTTGATCTAGGGCTTAATTGTGAGTGTGTTTAAATTATTTTGAATTCATACTATTGCACAACATCATTCAGTACAAACATGCTTCTCAGACACATATATTTTTATGAACTCTTACAGTGAGTCAAATACCAGTATGAGATATGGATGTCACAGCTGGAACCAGAGTGGTGCTGCTGGCCTGTGGCTCTTTCAACCCCATCACCAACATGCACTTGAGGATGTTTGAACTGGCACGGGACCATCTAGAAGAGTCAGGTACAGAGAACACAATTATTGCAAACAGGATTTCATTCTGACCATGCAGCCTCTATTGTCTCACAAATGGAATACTGTTATGGAATAGTTTATTACTATGGCAAAGCATGTTTTTATTATGAAATCATTGAGCTACATAAGTTTGTGTAAGCTCTTAGTCGTACAGGGATTAGTCAAAGCAAAGGAAGGTTTCTCACCCATCATCTGTACTTCTTAGCAGGTTTTCCCGACATTTCGTCCTTCATCTAAAGGACTTTTTCAAGGGAATGAAATCTCAGACTACGTGTTGGAGATTTATAACCTATGGGTGTGGTTAGCCACACCCTAATCCTGATGCTAACTCATTAACAAACTAGGGTCTGTTTGATGTGGAAGGGAGCAGGTCAAACGACCCTGCTAGGTCTAACGATCCTAACTCATTAGCATGTCACAGACCTATTGTCTGCTGAGATTGCTTGAGTGGAGTGCAGGTCTCCCCACTCCTAACTCATTAGCACAATGTGCTTTAGAATGAAGGACAAAAACGTCGGGAAAACCTGCTAAGAAGTACAGATGATGGGTGAGAAACCTTCCTTTGCATTGAGCTACATAGTTTCTTTCTAGGTTACCAAGTGGTGAAAGGAATCATATCACCTGTTGGGGATGGTTACAAAAAGAAAGGTTTAATTGAGGTGAGACATCGGCTGGAGATGGCCCGACTAGCCTCAGAAAACTCCTGGATCACAGTGGACTCTTGGGAGGGCCTACAAACAGAGTGGCTTGAGACTGCTAAAGTTGTACGGTGAGTGATTCTTCCGATTCTTTTAAATCCAAGGATGAAACTGAAGCAATGAATTTAAGCTGTGGTTTAAAAATAATGTCACAAGAGTTGATTGACAAAGTTCCATTGCTAATTGTTGGTAGTTATTGACTTTTTTGACATAACATTCTTGAAACCTGTTGTTTAATACAAACACACAAAGGAAAGCAACCTCGCTCAGCCTGTTTTGTGACTGAGTATTCCTATTGATGGAATGCCTTTTACTTTTTATACTGTAGGTCACATAGCTTTCTTTTTCTATTCATGTGAACCTTAAATTTAGATCAAAGGCGTACATCACTCATTTGAGACTTTTAACAGAAAGTTAAGATCTTACTGTTTTCCCTCTAAGACATTACTACAATGAACTCGTTGCATCTGACAAGAACAATGACGAAGTGGACACTGTGAAATATGGAAAAAAGAGACGCATTGAGGACAACTATAACGCACCTTCACCTTCTCAAAACAGAGGTAGTGGCATTACTAGCATTACTTGTGATCCTCCCATCTATTATTTAGCATTAGCACTAAAAAGGCTTAAAGTGTATTGTGTCACTGTATTCAGTCTGACCTTTTCCCAGACACGCCTTATTTCCATGTTAGTCATTCCGTGAATACTGATTATTCAGCTCTATTAAAATGAAACGGTTATAAACAACAAATCCTGTAATTGTAAAAGTTATTTCCCTTCTCATAAATGGTTAATAATGACAATGTTGGTTAGTACATATGTGCACAATTTTACAATAAATATGTTGTTACTTAATTATAGTTTGATTAATTAACAACTCTTTTCTCTTGTACCAAGATGGAACCCGCCTGATGTTGCTGTGTGGTGCGGATGTTCTTGAGTCTTTTGGTGTTCCAAACCTGTGGAAGCATGAGGACATTGAAGAAATAGTTTGCTTAGGCTTAGTTTGCATCACTCGTACTGGTAGTGAACCGCTTAAGTTCATCCATCAGTCGGACATACTCTGGAAGCACCGCAAGAACATTCATATTGTTCAGGAATGGGTTACAAATGAGATCTCAGCCACTCACATCCGCCGGGCACTTCGTCGAGGACGCAGTGTCCGCTACCTGCTGCCCGACGCCGTGTTGAACTATGTCCATGAACACAAACTCTACAGTGAAGAGAGTGAGCAGAAGAATACTGGAGTAGTCCTTGCACCTCTTCAGAGATACACTGGTGCCTCCTCAAGCTAAATATTACCTAAAAATCTATAAAACATATGTTTACTCCATTTAGAATACACACAATGCTGCTACACTTTCCGGAATTTATGTTGCAATTTGATTGTTATCCACTAAAGATGACAGCAGAAACCAGAAGTTTCTGTACACTTTGCACAAATGCATCGTTTCTCAGTTTGAAACTGAACTTTTGACTGTGTTGTAATATGAGTAAATCAGAAGGATTACCTCTCTATATATTGTGTCATAACTGAGGTACAACAACTAAATCATGACATGTCTTTTTACATATGAAAACTTCTGATTTCTTATAATAGATAATTGAACAATGTTGATGCACTTTTTAAAAATGTGTATGTATTTAGTGTGAAATCAAAATTCTTATCTGTTTTCCACTAGAAATTACTTCAGGATTACAAACATTGTATTACTACAGGAGTATTTTTACAGTATTACAAGAGTGTTACAAAATAGACAACCTTTTTATCCAGATCCATCCAAAACTTTCCGTATGCACATTTTGTTTTTGGATATACTTTTCTGAATTTCATCTTCCTCCTTAACCCTGGGGAAAGTGACTCTTCACTGTTGATTAAAATGGTCCATTGTGGGAAACAATGTTTCTTTTAGTTTCTATTTTGGCTAATTTTTGGCTAATTTCTATGGTGCATTGATAACCTGTGTGTTATGCTAAGATCATCAGATTCATGTTCTTTACATCTTGGAAGTGTAGGTGAAAAGTGACTGCATGATTAATTATAATTGAACTCCTGAGGCATGTTTGAAACCAAGCCTGCAAAGTTTGTTTTATGAACACAAAACTTAATTTAGGCCCCTTTTTTTTCTTTTTTTTAAAGAAAGAAAAAAAACTAAATGCAAAACCAACCATGTTTCTCATAGCAATTAAAATAAGTGTTTCCAATTTAAATTCCTTATCTTTCCTTGAAATGCATCTCCAAGTGAAACCTATCAGAACCATGTCATGATTCCATGAAATTAATAAGTTAAATCCCTAATTAACTAATAAAAACATCCAAAAGGGAAAATACAAGCTAACATTGGAGTATAGTAAGGATTTAATTGTGTATTTCGCTCCTTTTAGATGCTGGGTGTTGCTTAGGAAATATTTAAAGCATCACATTATCTTACATGTGCTTTATTAGTGACAGTTGGTTCGTTCAAACGGGCCCTGGGGCAAATTAAGTATTGTATTTTCAGACAACACCCAACTTCAATTGCAACTATGGTTTAACCCCTCCCAGCTATCACCAAGTCTGCGAATGGGGCAAAAGCTCATCTGTCTTTAAAGCTGTCCTGCCACTTGTTTTCCCACAGCTTCATCTGATCAGAGCTGGAGACTTGGACACCATCAGTGGTCATTGTAGTTTTCAGTAGGATCTAGAAGTCAAGATGCCTGCCAGCCTCTGTGGAACTTGGGACATGGTTAGCAATGTCAACCTCGAGGGCTACATGATGGCATTGGGTAAGGAGAAAATTTAATTTTAAATTGACTGTGCAATTAAGTTTGAATATTTTAAGTATGTGATTTTACACAAAATTAAAAGAAAAGAATAAAGAAAAAAAGTGTACTTTATATGATTTGGCTCAAAGCACAGATTTAGTTTAACTTTCAGTTTGCTTAGAGTCCCACACTAGTAGGGAGTTCACTTCTATTACTTGGCTACAAGGTGGTTTTGTAATATCTCAGGTACGCATGGGATTGATTGACTGGTATATTTGTAGCCTCTGATGGACTCAATTCCACAGCCTTTGTACAATGTGTTCAAGGAATTTTATTGTCTTTATTTAGGTATCAGTGCATGCGTGAGAAAGATTGCTGTGAAGCTGAAGCTGAGGAAGGTTATTGAACAACAAGGAGATCAATACATTGCCAAAACTCTCAGCATTTTCAAAAATTACACTGTCTGCTTTGGAGTGGGAGAGGAGTTTGCAGAATTCACCAAAGGCCTTGATAACAGACACATCAAGGTATGATGAATTAATTTTATGCTATTTAAAAATTAAAAATAAAAATATTATCAAATAACTGATAACTTCAGATTCTCATGTTCAATTGTTTGTTCTGTCTGTCTGTTGATTCTCACTTGCTTTCGGTGTGCCAACCGTGCAGGCGCTGGTGAAGTGGGAAGGAAATAAACTGGTTTGTGAACAAATTGGAGAGAAGAAGAACCGAGGCTGGGCTCACTGGATTGAAGAAGACAAATTACATTTGGTGTGACTCAAAAACAAAGAAAATGTAACAACTTTGTTAACGGTGGAGCCAACATTCATTTCTGCTGTCTTCTGCCTTATAGGAGTTATACTGTGAAGGAGAAGTCTGCAAGCAAGTTTTCAAGAAAAATGCATTGGCTTAATTTTGAAATAACACCAAACCTACAAGGGCCACATATTGAAACAAATATGGCACTGAGGGGTGCATTATCTCACTGAGGATTAGAGAATATGGACTTGTTAAATTGTGTTAAAGGACGATTTTCTACTTCCAGGTGGATCTTTAAGACTATTGGTCCTCCCAATTGTCAATCATTCTGGAGCTAGAGCTCATCAAAAAAGAGCAGAGTTTTGTTCCTGGAATTTGGGAAAATCCTCCCATATACTTTTAAATGTTATTGGATTTTATAAAATTAAGAATTTTAAACCTTGCAACTGTATACTTAAAAATAGCCTAGTGCCATTAAATGGACACAACACTAAAAGAATAGGCGTCTGTAAATCAATACATCCATGCTGTAAATACATGTGAATGAATGAATCGCTAAGTTAAACCCGCTACGTTTTCTAGTTACATCACTAGATGGCAGTAGTGTGGTGTTCGAAAAGCTCACTGCTGGTCAGACTTTTTCCTTTTTCTTTTCCTCAGCTGGCTGAAATAAAATGACTATTATGTTTTTTGTCTCACGGTGTACTTTATTGTCTTAATTTATGTGACATAGAAGTAACTAAGCATAGAAGTAAGAATAAGTAGGCATGGTGATTTTACTGTTACAAAGTTGTAACTAAAAATAAAAGTAATGTAAAGACTATAGTTTATACTGAAATACAGTATAGTCTCTGTATGTTTGCAAGAAACACACAGCAGGCCCTTTTATAAATGTAACTTTTTACAGGACAACATTATGACTTTTAAAAAATGAATAGTATTTTGAACACGATAGGTACGGCGTCGAGCATTGCGATTAGATGGTCACCCTTTTCTCTGGTTGCATTTGCAAATTTGTAAAGCATATTCAATAAAATATATCGATACAAATCAGGAAATCCTCTATTAACGAAGCTAGATTGTTACACTCACACACACACATATATATGTATGCAAATATATATATACATATATATGTGTACAAATTGCTTTTGTTTTTACAATAAATACGCACTTGTAAATAACACATTCCAGGGACCACAGCAGCTTCGGTCACGTGACCCCGGTGCTGTAGATCCAAAATGGCCGTTGTTGTATTTTGACGTACGCTAGCTGCTTTTCTTTTTGTTTCATTCCCTGTAAAGAGAACACAATACTGTTTCGGGGACCAGTTTGTTGTCATCCCCTATACATTAGCGTGCTGGTTACTGAATCCAAGACAATCACTGCTGACAGCCATTTACAAGTGGAGCTTGACTATGCATTTTTAGTTCTGATTGAAGCTAGCTAGCTGGCTCTGGCTGGCATACATTAGGCAGTTGAAGTAAAGCGGGGAGCTAAGCTAACTTAGCTGCAATGGAGGAGTTGAGCGCAGATGAGGTAAGATGAAAAAAGTAATGTAACATCCGTATTTAACGCTGATCCATTCTAATGTCACTCAATTATGTTCATATATTTTACCGAATCGTATAATTTGGAACTGTAATACCTGATTGCTAAGCTAGCTTATACCACCGCTAACGTCACCAGTTTTTTCCTTGATCAACACGACCTAGCCTAAGTTTCTAAATCATTCACATTATTGCCGTCTATGAGATGGAAATGGAATGAATTAGACTTGTAACTAGCTAAGACTTTCTACTGTTAGTTTCACACCGTCGTAGTTATCTAGTTAATCAAGAATATACCGGATCTGGTTCAGGATCAGAGGTTGCCTTTTGTCAAACCTTCCTGACACTGTTCATTATTTTCATTGCACTAAGATGCTTAGTTACTTTGCGCTTACTAAATTTGTCACTATTGGTGGTAGTGGTGAATGGATGCTACCTCCCATTGTTAAATTGTGCTTGTTGAAATAATTGACGTGTCGTTTGAAGAATGCTAGCTGTCATCTGCTAACGTTGTTTTGCTAACATCTGAAAATTAGCCTGCAAGGCGACTCAGCACAAAATACAAACTGGGCCACCATTGTGCAATCAGTCGCCACTCTCCCATGAGCCCCTGAGTTTGGTCAACAAGACCATTGCTTTGTGTCAAACGCTTCCACAACATGCATAAAAAATGTTTACATTTCCGTCTCAATAATAACAATAATCAGAGTTAATATTTATAAATGTGATTATTTTGAAAGAATTAATGGGCAACATTGGTTATATAAACTTCACAGCCTTGTGTATATATCTGACAGTAAGTGGTCAAATTATATTAATGTAATGATAATGATAATCATATTATTTATAACATTTTTAATTCCAGATTCGGCGAAGGAGACTTGCCCGACTGGCGGGAGGACCGACGTCACAACCTGGCACCCCCCTTAGCACTCCTTTGACCTCACCACAGAGAGAGACCCCACCTGGACCCCTTCCTGGACCCTCAGGTGCAAACCAGCCCATGCCAGCAGCTGCCTCTCATTCTTTGGGGCTTAATGTCCACAGTGGCACCCCAGCCACATCTCCCATGGGCACGTCTGGTAAGAATGATGCTGCGGTCCTTCTCGATAATTAGTTACTGCCGGGTCAAGGCCACTTTGGACCACTAAGTTGCTTTCAATAAATAAATTAAGATTACACCTTTTAATAGTAAGTGGCCAAAATATTTACCTGAAAACGGACCACACACTGCTGCTGAGCTGAATACTAATATTCTACAAATTGACTAAGTTTAGGCTATGCATTTACTGTCCCTTTTGGGGCCTGTCCCAATTCTGAGGGCACTTGAGTTGTGAGTACCCTCAACAGAAGAGCGCCCTCTCATAGGGGAGTGCACTCGCGGGATATTCTCCCTAAGAAATGGGACACCCATGGATCTAGGGGACAATATGCAAATCGAGGCCACAAACATGTTCCACATCACACACACAACATCGATGTGTCTGATTTATATGACCACATATGACTTTATGAAACAAAGTATAGTAAGTGAGATGTTTTTATTTGTATTTCATATGAAGAAGATTAGCTATAATTAGGTACAGGACTGCTCTATATCACGCACACACGTACGCGCACAGACGTACGTGCACACAGAGACAGACAGACGAGTACAGCCTTGGATCACAAAGCTCCTGTCAAAGCGATGTAGTCTCTAAACTACACCATGGATCTATAATAATAACATGGATCCACGTCTCTGAAGTCTCAGTGAATGCCACACGCTACGGCTGCTTCACTCCGGAGCTCACTTGCTCGCAAGGCTCTCGCATCTTCTCCCTAAGAATTGAGACACCCTACAACCCCAGCGGGCACGCGCAAAATCTAGGGCAAGTGTGTTTTTAAAGAACAAGGGTGAGAATTAGGACTGGCCCTTAAACACTTGAGAATGTAGTCTTTTAAAATTGTTTGAATTTGTATATCTATATATATATATATTTTTTTTTTTAGGAGTTGCTTTTGGTAGTCAGAGCAGTGAGGGTGTCAGTTCCCTCTCCAGTTCTCCTTCCAACAGCCTTGAGACGCAGTCCCAGAATTTGTCACGGTCACAAAGCATGGACATTGATACAGCCTCCTGTGAAAAGAGGTAAAGTGCATGTGTGCAATGCATAGCAAACTATATGGTTGGTTTCTATGTGAAGATAGAAAGTTCATTAGATTGTTTGTTTTTATCGCAGCATGTCCCAGGTGGATGTGGACTCAGGAATAGAGAACATGGAGGTGGATGACAGTGACCGCAGAGAAAAGAGAAACTTAACTGAAAAGGTAAATGAGAACTATTGGTGTTTGTGGTCAAATTGTAAACTTCGGACTTCCTTATTGCTCCAGGAAGTAGCTTCAAACTCTGATGTACCCGAGGAGCAGGCTCTGCAGCTCATGTGTAAGGTTCTGCGTGTCTCCTGGAAGGAACAAGACCGCGATGTAATTTTTCTCCCTTCACTTGCCTCAGAGTTTCAACAGAATCCTAAAGATGGTAAATTGCATCTACAATAATGGCGATTCAAATGTTCAGTGTGTTCTTTGAGAAATAAGTTCTGTCTTTGTGCAGTCTATGCTGATTTCAAAGACCTGATCAGTCAGATCCTGATGGAGGTTTTGACAATGTCCACGCAGTCTCCAGTTCAGAACCCTTTTGCAAGCTTGACTGCCACTTCTCAGCCAATAGCAGCAGCCAAATCTGACCACCGACTGACCCTCGTACAGCCCCCAAGCCAAGGTGGAAGCCCCATGGGCTCTAGTGCAGCCTCCCTTGGAGCCAGTTCTTTGTCCAGGTAAGTGTTTATTACTTTTATCATTAAATGCACAGACCACTGTGAGAACATTATTTTCCTTTGTACTTGTCAAATCTGTTCATCATTAATTACTCAATGTTATTTCAGTCTATATGGGTGTGGTAGTCCTCACCCAATGGAGGCTGCTTCATGGACCTCTCCGTCCCCTTGTGCCTCCTCTTCTATTCCATCAACACCTTCTACTCCTCAATTCATTGCTCCCCCCAGCCCACCTGCTACAGCAAGTCCTAGACACATGTTAAACTCTCCTTCTGCCCCTCTCCCTATCTCCCAGCGTTATCGGCCTTATGCCGTTTCTACTCCATGGGTGCCTCCCTCTCCATCTAGCTCCAGTTACCGGGCATTTAGTTTCTCTGGTCCATCTCCTGGATCAGTGGGACCTGTTGTTCCCCCAAATACACCAGTCCCTATGCCACCTCAGAGTCCCCAGTCTTTGAACTCATTCAGGGCTACTACCCAGTCATCCACAGCACCTCTCCCTATGGTGCCCCCTTCACCACGAACGAGGGCTAGACATGCTGCATTTGCTACCAGGATTCCACCATCTAGGTATTGCATGATGTGTGCATGGCCATTTTCTACAAAGCAACTAACATGAAACTTGAGTAATTAAACACAGGTGCTCATCTGAAGTTTGTGTGACAATTAGAAGATTTCATGCATAATAATTCTTTCATTATTTTAACATTGCATGGTCTTCCATTATTATTTATATAATAAATATCAACTTTAGAGATTGCCATCCTTAATCTGTTTGGGGAGTGTGGAGT